TAAACTTTGTTGGACCATCCAGCTTGTAACTGGCTTGGCCGCAAGGCGATCCACATTCTGGAAGGAGTCATTTGATTGGGCTTGGATCTTGGCAAACATAGAGGGGTTCATGGGTTGAGGACAACCAGCCTAGAGATGTTCTAAAGCTGTCTACGGTGCAAAGCGGACTGGCCCGCAGTGGGCGAGCTAGCATTTGTTTCTTGGTGGAATTTCCCAGTTCGCTCAGAGCCGCAGCGACGTGGTGTTGTCTACTCAAAGTACTGTCTTATCAGCCACCTTTGTCGAATGTCCTGCGTTCAGGAATACTTCTTGTGTGTGCGCCTGTGTGATGTCAACACATGCAGCAACCACAACACGTTTGCAGTTCAGTTTGGTGATGCAACGGCTCATCTACATCACCGAAAACACATTCCGACGTGCGCATTCTTTGGCTGTAGCTGGTGCGAGGCAATGAATGCGTGGCACCAGGGAGGCAGAGTTAACTTGTGAAACCTATTGGGGGAAGCCACACTCAATCACATAGGGAGCGGATCCCGAAACGTGCAGTCACCAATGCTTGGACGTTCTTGAAGGAACACGCGGCACAAAGCATCACTGGACGTGCCTTTCCGCACCGCTTCCAGAGGTCTGGTCAGTGCCGACTTCACTGGCTTCGCGTCCGTCGATGCAGGACGGATGGGAGGGCGCGTGGGTTTGCCACGCTTTCGCATCTCCAGTTGACCGTGGAACCCGAGCAGAGCACCGGAAAGTGTTGAATGCGGCTGGTTTCTGTGCTCCTCAGCTTATCGGGAATGCGAATAAAACAGCTATGGATGACATGTGTTGCTTATGGCCTGGGCCCAGTCACGGTGAGGTGTGTGTGTGTGTGTGTGTGTGTTGTGCTGCTGCCTCCTCGAGAGCGACCGCAGTGTTCCGATGAACTGTCCAACCGCGCCACAGAAAGTGGGGTGACATGCATAGTCCATTTGCTGCTTTATGCCTTTTTGGGCAACAGCGAATATGATCCGAACCGTTTGATGGCACGCCGCTTGATTTAACAGGTCGTGCGTTTGCCTTGGGTAGAAAGATGTAGAAAGCTTTTGCTTGGGCCGTTCTGTATGTGTTTTGCTGGGGCAAGGTGGGTTGCTTGACTGCGCAAGCAAGATGCGCGGAAAGCACCGAAGGACGATCTTTGGAAAGCGCCAACTCCAGTGACGTCGGCTCCGGCGCAGGAGGGATGGGAGCGGGATTCATGCCACCCCATCATATCATGGTCATTGCTTCGGAGGACATCTGCTTTGACCAAACATCAAACTTGTTGTGCCAGGATCCCGACGACTTCGCTTCCTGCACTCGCAACTCGTGGTTTGAGCGCGATGCGGTACACTTCATTTGGCTGACGGGCAGTGGCCAGTTGTAGTCAAGGCTGATGACTTTGGCTGATCAGTTGTGGTTCAAGTTCTTTTTTGAGCAGCTGGTCCCATGACCAGGACCAGCCCATGAGGCATTCTTCTTAAGTTGTTGGCCAAATGTGTGAGGGATCGGTTTGCATGATGTGCATCACAGTGTTTTGGCCTGGGCAAAGGCGGTGAATGTCTCTCGGGATCGGCATAGCATTCCAGCGTGTTTCTCCTGAAACGGATTTCCCGTGCTTGTCTGGTGCCAGACGCATGTCCGCTTCGTGCTCCATTTGAACAGGGGCACTGCTGAAACTGGCAGGCGACAGTGACCTTTGGAAGGGCCGCACTTCAGGTGTCTTCCCACGGACTCCCCGCTCCGAGTTGGGCAATGTAAAGCTTGGTGTGGCCATTGCCTTGGACCTTGCGGATCGCCCCCGGCTCGCGCCCGCCGCCCGCACCGCGCAAAATTCGTGATTTGCCACTGCTGAAAAAGTTCAACGTTCCGTCGGCCGACTTCGATGCGCCAAGTGTGGCAAGGCCGTAACCCTCGAACTACAAAAGTTCAAGGCACTTCAGAACTTGACCCTCCTGTCATGCAAGATGTGGTTAACCTTTTGCCTGGTCTTGTTCCTGGGCGTGCTTGGCGTTTTCCTCCCTCTAAAGGAGGAGGTTCGAAGAGAACAGCCGTGCTTGGGAACACCCAGCCGGTGGCGCATAGCTTTCAATAAATAGTTGGCCGCCAGGCCATGCTGTCCCTTGGGAATCCAAGATGGACAATGCCAGGCGCCCGACAGAAGCAACAGAGCCATCAGAGCTGCATATGAGTTAGCAGCAAAATTACCGTCATGTACTTTATATGGGGGTGTTTCATGCACGTATTGTTTTTTCGTTTTTGCTCGAAAAACGATACGGGACGTCCAAAAAAACGATACCCCTTCAGCAAGTTGGCATTGGTTGCAAACAAAAATGTCTTGTCAGTTTGTGTGTTCTCCTAGAGCATGTGTTTGGTTGCTTGGTCGGGACTTGCAACTAGGCCCTTCCATTGCAAGCAAAAGGGAACTTCACATTTGGAGCACCAGCTGGCTTGTGACAAGACGCGCGTGGCAAAAACAAGCTGTGCTTGAACGGGGCGAATGTTTCTAGCATGTGTCCAGGGTAGCTGCCGGCCAGGAAGAAGCATTACGAGTTGTAGTTGGGCAAAAGTCTTTCTTCTATTGTTTTCGTTTTTGAAGGGGATGTAACTGTAGTTCTCCGTTCAGTCAAGGAAGTTTAGAAGGGGTGTAACTGCAGTTCTCCGTTTGGTCAAGGAAGTTTAGAAGAGACTTGCGCAACACTGGAACTAATTGAGCGAGCTCTTTCGAAGAATGCGTGCATCTGCGCGTGATCTTTAAGACTAGATGCTCCGCGTGAAAAAGCTACGAAAAAAGCTGGAAAGCGCGAGAGCTGGGGGATGAAGCAACCATAGACGGAAACCAAGACGGCAGCTATGTATTCTAAGGATGTCCCGCTGTCTTGCCCTCTTGCTGGCCAAGCAAGGTGTTTGGGAGGTCACCTGTCTTCGGCCGCAAGCAAGCTGCAGGACTGCATTTTGCACGCTCCAGGCTCCTTAGAGGGGAAGTAAGGCAGTTGTCAAACAGCGCCGCTTTCCAGGAAAAAAAACGGCCACCAAAACGATACCCCAAAACGATGCCCCGACGATACCCTCGCAATGGGCCAGGAGGCGAAATGTAGGGGGTGGCCCGTTTGACACCCAAACGCTACCCCTTCAGTTACGAGGAGACACACATTTGGGGGTGGCTTGGGAAAGAACTGCAATGCTGGAGAGGGCAAGGACTGCAATGCCAGGAGTTGCCAGGCAGCCTCAAAGGAGAATCATGATGGGTTGAGGAGTGCGTGCGGAAGGAGAAGTGGAGGGGCAGCGTGCTTGCATAGAGAGAGCTGCCTCGGCTCCAAAGGCTGAGCCGAAGAGCGCGGAAACGCCGCAAGAAATTGCCAAGGTGATTGCGAAGAGTGCCCGCAAGAAGGTGAAGAAGACCACCACGGTGACGAAGCCGGCCTCTCGGCTCCAGCGCCGGCGGCGCCGTGGGGGCGTGACAAGCATCTTTGGGCGCAGCCTCGTCCTTTCTCCTCAAGCGGCTGCACGTGTGCCTTGGGTTTGAAGCGAACAACCCCAGCTCCAGCAGCCAAGCGGGTGAGGGACTACATTGACGCAACAGCGCGTGAGTTTGCTGGCACGCCTGAGACTGCCTTGAGAAGGCAGGACTTGAGGGAGCCAACGATGAGAGAAAGCGTTTCAGACCCAGCAAGAAGGAGCGCTGATGGAGAAGGCGCAAAACTAGGCAAAAGCAGCGTCGCAACAGCCGTTGGAGGAGGACTCTGTGTCAAGCGCAAGTTCCTGCTCCTCGATCTTCAACTCAAGCTCTGAGGGAGACTAAAAGGAATCTGCGGCCCGCGGTGTGATTTGCTATGCTTGCAGGGATTGCTCTTTCGCCGCCGTGTGGTTTGATACCGCGGAATGCCCGCTTGTGAGAGCTTCCAGTTCGTTGCTGTTACGTGGCGCTAACCCCGCAAAGATGTGTCCCGTAGCCACGGCCTGCAAAACGATACGGGACGTCCTCTTTAAGGAAAACCTGTAAAACGATACGGGACGTCCTAACACCGAATGAATACACCCCAGACAAGTAATTTTGACGCTGTCTCATATCAATCCGCAGACAAGTATCCGACCTTTACTCCGTCCGGTGGCTGTTCTTTGGCCTGGTCGCGTGGCTTGTGCGCTTGGCCACAATGCGATTGCCCAACCTAGCGCTGGTGGACAATCCAATTGTGCTTCTGTAAGTCCACATTCCCAGCTGTTGCACGCGGCAGGGCACATGCAGGTGTTCTTTCCGTGGTGCCATGCGATAAGCTTGACCCCTGGATCCAATGCCTGCGAACGGCTTGGCAAGCCGTTGGCCATGCCAACCTGTTTTTCAATTCGACTCACGGGGCGGAGGGCAACATCCCCACTTGCCATCTGACGGGAAGACTGCCTTAAGATCAACAAAGAAGCTTGTTTCAAGCCCCAGAGGGTCCCTTGGTCTCATGATGGCTTTTGCGGGTGAAAAGGCAGGAGGCACTGAGTTGCGATGCGTGCCGCTCTCTGGCATCTTCCTGTCGGAGCGGTTCGCAAAGCCTCGGTTCGTTTCAACACCAGCAGTCTGCTTCGCAGCAAAAGGTGGGGCAGACGGGCGGAGGGGGGGTGGTCATAGAGGGGGTGGGAGAGGGGAAGTGCATGTTAGCCAGCCAACAGGAGGCTCGTGCAAGATCGTGCAAGTGGACGCTCGCATCTGAATGACAGGTTTTAGCATGCAACACCAGGTTTTATACTTAGCCATGCTCCATTCAAGAGCGAAAGGCTCAAACGATATGCGAGAAGCATTGCAATCACACCACTTGCCATTCCTTGACCACAAAGGCAAGTTTACAAGTTTGGGCTCCAAACCAAATGCGTATAGATGTTGGGAGACAACCGTGCATCATGCACATCCACCACTGGTCGCGGGTAGCAAACCCAATCCAAACTTGTCATCCGAAAGGTCAATGGATCCCATGCCCGTCAATCAGAATCCGGAGTTTGAGGCCTGGAGGATCCTTTGCTGGCCGCCTCGTTGACGTGTTTTGGCTGCAGTTGGTCGGGCAGCTTTTGCGCACGGCCTCAAATGCGGGCAGCCAATGTTGCTCTGTTGGTACTTGATGTGACTTAGTTGGAAGTCTGAAGTAATTGGCAGGTGTAGCACAGTGTCATGGCCCGGGGTTGGTTCCCTTTGCTTGGGGCCTTTTTGAGCTCTTGTTGATCCAGAGGCCCTGGAACTGATGATCACTGATGCAAGGACTTTCCCATCGGATTCGGGGAAAGCAGACCTGACAAGCGCGCAATCTTCCCCACCTAACGCCAAGTGAAAGCGCATCAAGGGAGGGGTCAACTGAGAGACCCTAAAAGTAAAATCTGGGGGGGGGGAGGCAGACCTCAGTTTCACTCGTGAAAACTATATTTGTTTATAACATGCTCCCTTGGATGCGCAAGTTGTTGAAAGTTCAGAGGGTATCCGATCCGATGAACGGTTTCGCAACTGCACGATGATTCACACCGGGAAATCTAAGGGGGCCCAGAGACGGGGTTGTGGGGGCACTTGAAAGCAGGATTCAGCCATGCTCAGAAGAGGAATATTTCCATTTGCTTAAGACTATTTGTTATTTTCCCTTGTTGGTTTTGACATGAATTTATCACTACGTACTGGAAGTAGTTTTATTTTCTCCAGGGGTCTTAACCAAATGGAAGAACAGGTTTTCGATTTGTTTCAAGCCCTCCCTCTTCAGTGCCCAGGCTAGGCGCCTTGTGGGCCGTGGTGTACCCTTCAGCCGCGACCTTTTTCCGGGAGCAGCGGGTGGTAGTGAGATCTCACGGTCGGTTGGTGAAACACGAGGCAAACAAAGAGTGGTGCTTGTCTGATCCTCTAAACTGGCTGAAGGGCTCGAAACGAACCGGCATGCAGAGCCTGTGAAGAATGCTGCGTTGACGTCCAGGTTGATGTCATCAAGGTGTATGAAGCATGCTCGCAGGCTCAAAGGTTTGGTTTGGCAGAGGCTTGCCACAGTGTCCTGGTTTTCGTCATTTGCCATGACAGTGCGTTCTCTCCATGGGGCCATGCTATGCGCCTAGCCCGAGGGCAATTTTCGGCCAACGGTCTGAGGTCAATATGCCGGGTGCTCGGCCACAACCGGACCTGGGGATGAGGACAAATCTGTTAGCGGTGGATACTGGAGGCGGTAACGTGTCTTTGGAGGTGGGCACATGAGTGATGCCAGAAGGCCTTCTGTGGTCCATTATTCTAGGGTTGATCCCCATTCTTGTAAACCATCATGATTTTCAACAACCGGCTGTTTCCCCTGGGTTTTTGATGGATTCCTGAAAAGAAGGATCCCTGGAAAGAATGGGGAAGGTACCCCTACAATTATGGGTTCCTTGCTTTGCGATTGCACTGTGGGGCCGCTTGACAACCATAGGTACACAACAGGCCTCCTCTACAATGGGTGGTATGGCAGGAGTCAAGATCGCCGGGCCAGCAAGCATGTTTGCAGATGAATAGACTGGTTTGGCAACGACCGCAGTGCTACAAAGGAAATCATGAGATTTCATTGTTGTCGTTGTTGGTAGTGATGCTGCGGCTACCGTGTTCCACACAGCAGTGCAGGGCCAGCGGTTCGATTTCCTTCTCAGTGTTTCCATTTGAGCCCAAAGACTGGCTGCGAAACGAGCAACAGATATCTCCCATGGTTGCTTGTCAACATCTAGCACTTTGTTTCGTTTATCTTCCCGTTAGTTTCCAAGCGGAATGCAGAGAGACGGATTTATTTTTTGGGTGGAGTAAGCCTTTGCCCCAACATGGCCAGCATGGCGTCAGAAACTCTGCTGAGGTGGGGCCTCTTCAGAGACAACGAGGAATTGGGGAAACCATCGGCGCCGCCCCTGGGCACATGGCGGGGTCCACCCATTGCCGCTTCACATGGAATTCGCCCGCACTTGGGGTTGATCAACATTCCTGGTGCCCAAATGACCATTGGCCCATTTAGCGGGACATATTGCATATAAAGGACAGTTTGATCAACCCCCATTTGCAGCTGGCGCTGGTTGCATCCTGTTTGGAAGAGCCATGACATTGCGCCCCTTCACCCAGGAATGATGCTGTTCAATGGAAGCCATGCATCCATGGCCCTTTTGTGCATATGGCTGAGTCTTATAGCATGTTTGTGGCTTTGTTGCTTTTGCCGAATGTCATTGCAATACATCTCATGCTCTATGTGGGGCGCCTGGCCAGCCAAGTTGATTGGGAAAGACCACGAGTCACTTCAAGAGTGTGCGTTGAGGTGCTGAAGCGGTGGGCGATCCTCATCAATGGCAGCTGGGCGGCAACTAGTCATCAGTCCGGTTATCCAGCAGGCGTTGCTTCCGTTTGAGCTTCGATGCCACTTTGTAAGCATCCTTCGGAGTAATGTGACTGACGTTACGCCGGCAAATCGCTTGGTGGCGGGTTGTGTCTGTGCGCGTGCTGTTGGGCATGCCGGGCTGTTCTATTGGCTGAGCTTGTTTGTACATTCCGCCAGCAAGTGGGAGGTTGGCACCTTGACTGACAAGCAGCATGAGCAGCATCATTGTTCATGGACAATGAAAGCTGGCCATGGCTAAATCTACAAAGGTATGGAATGGTCCATCTATGGTGCATATTGCCTGGAAGCTCACTCCCACGCTGGAGGGTTTTGCGAACTTTGCTACTGGACATGCTTTTGTCGTACCAAAAGGGGCTCCCTCGTTATTGAGCTTACAAACCTGTTTGGCTGCTCTTCCGCTGATGTTGCTCACAAGATCTTCTAACCCATACAAGAAACCAGTGGCCTCACCTTTCAAACGTTTGTGTGACAACCACCTTGCGACAGACTGCACAGAGTTTCGCAGTTTGGAGCATCCGAGCTGCCCTTTTGAATGCATACCTATCCCTACATCCGTAGGCTTCATCCCGTTCGAAGCTTGTTTGCCCATGAGGAGCCGTCTGAGCTGAGGCTACTCCAGAGCTGTTTGGCCTGCGACCCAGGGGATTGATGGTCACCATGTCCCGATAGTGACTGGGCTGTACTGGCTTGGCTCTCAATCAGTATTTTTACATTAAACAACTTGTGCACACGTTGGGGCCAGACCTGACTAGAAGGGTAGAGGTGTAGAGTGTAGTCCTAGATGGGCACGAAGAGGCCTAGGTAGGCCTATCATGTAGAGGAGCAAGGAACATGGGGGCAGCAATTTGAGGTGTACACATGTCTTCCACATACTATTGATCCCTTCTCATGGAACACAAGCGCTTTGGGATGAACGAGTTCTTCGCAGGTTCTTGTAAGATTGGCATGCATGATCATGTATGCTAGCTTTCGCAACCCGTAGCCTGCCAGTCAAGACCAATCGCGCACAGTCCTCTTACCGCGAACATGAGGAGATGGTTGCTGTCCTTTTGTTATTGCAATTACATGACTACTCAACTGTGGCATGCCAGCAACTGAGACTGGAACCCTGAAATCTTCAGACAAGTGATGGTGGTGGTGGTGGTGGCGGTGGCGGCAGCGGCAGTGGTGGCGTCGGCGGCACGTCCCCTGAAGACGTGAGACGGACTCACGCAAGTTCGGGCTTCAAGGGTCGATTTTGGGCGATTTCGAAAGTACCGGTTGCGCAGATGTTTGGATGTGCAACGCGACCCGTGTCGTGCGGTTGGCCATGCGCGGAGGTGGTGGGAAGGTGCCATCTACGGGCGGAAGCTGGGCTTTCTACTGCTGGAGGTGGTGCCAGTCGGCTCAAAGCCTGGGCCCCAACATCTGGCTGGAGCCGCATCACAGATGTGGACTACTGCTTTGGCCGTATTTGGTGTGACATAACGGGTTTACAAACAGAGTCGTCCACATTCAATCACGTACATGTTACATGCCAATGCATGTTCAGCACGGTACATAGATACAGAGATGTACATGTGTGCATGCATTGCAGCTAGCTCACTTTTTAAGGGGAGGGCACTAATTTCAAACATAGGGCTTCACGGCCACTTGCTGTACCCAGAGAATCTGCTTAGTGATGCAGCCAACCTTTTTGAGGGTGCCTTTTTCGGTTGGTTTTTGTTTGGAACTTCAATAGGGCAATCCACGGATTTTTTGGTAGGTCCCCTAAACGCCATCCCTAGCGCTCCTCCAGGGAGGTTTTCCGCTTCGGTGTCTGAGGGCCCGGATCTTCTTCTTCACCGTGTGCCTCTTCCTGGCGCTCTACGCTCATGAAGTCTATTGGCAGCGGGCCGAGCGATGTGAGCCAGCGCAGCTCACGGGCTGGGGACCTGGGAACGGCCCCTTGGAGCCGGGAAATGCGATTGGTGAGCTAAAGCTTGTGGCACTGGGTTTGCAGACTTCAATTTACGCTTGCAACAGTGAAGCTCTTGTCACTGAGATCCACAAACATTTGTATGAAGTGTGGCAGTGTTTGGTGGGCAACTGAACAAGCAGGCTCATTTGCTGGGTGTTCTCAGTGGTGAATAGGATGTTTCTGGGTGGACTGCTGAACATGTTTTCTTCCAATGGACTGTTGAATAGCTTGCACCAGCCATGTATGGACGTCTGACTTTCTTAGTGTGTCAGTTGGTCAACCATTTGGGATTGCCATGCAGCACAACCGCACGTAACACTCGCATGCTTGCCAAAGCTGGCAACGTATTAATGTGTTGGCTGCTCACTGCGCTAAGGATTGACATAGATTTTGGGAACTTCTGATGTTGCGTGGTTTGGGATGACTCTTAACTTACATGAACAATTGGCAGCTGATGCATGCAAGCCCAAGCCAAGCTCCGATGATGCATTCCATGACGCCGTGAAACCTCTTTTTGATTTGAGAATGGAGGCAAGCCAAAACTAACGAGTATTCTGCAAAGCTAAGGGTATTGTACTCATGAAGTCAGCCACGTTGCGTATTATGAGCCTTGTTCACAGCCTCCACTCCGCCACAAAATGGTGGGATGAAGCTGCCAAACAGCCACACAAACCCTGCCAAGGGACATGTTTCCACGGAATTTGGTGCGCCGAATCACCGGGCCCTTTGAGGCCCTTTGATGGCCGACGAGGTGGGGTTCTGAACCAAGTAGAGCGGCAGCTCGGCTGGAAACGAGGGGCTCACAGGGCCGAACTCCTCTCAATGTGCTGTCCTTGACGAGTGCTTGCACCCGTGGTCTTACGAGCGTGCGCAACAGGAATCGGCGCAGTGCTTGCGTTTACAACCGACCAATACGTTACATAATAATACATGATATGTATATTCGTTTCGGCCTGTGGGCTTGGCATGAGGCCCGAGTTGCCGCAATCTGTCTTCTCACTCCGAGGTTCCAGCTCTGGTGTGTCCTGATTCCAGCCATGGCTTGCCTAGCCATGCTGGAAGCAGAAGAGGTGATCGGAGACAGGACCCGGACATGGCATGGCGCTCCGGGATTGAAAGGCCCTGGGCTCGATCGGTCTATGATGGTTCGTGGTTATATACCTCGGATGTGAAAGCTCTGAGATCCAGCCCCTTTGCCGGGTCTCTTTGAATCTGGGGCTGGGTGTTTGTGAGTTCCAGTCTTGTAGCATTGAGATATGGCTTTGCTGCATCCTCCACATTGCTGTTTGTGCTGGAGAGAGACATGACATGGGACGGTTCCTCACTGATCCACCTGCTTACTGTGGCGACTCAGGTGCGAGTAATTTCAGGCTCAACCTTTTTTACGTTTTTCAGCTTCAAGCAGTACTTTAAGAGTTTGGATGTGTGGTCATGCGTGCAATTACCGTAGCAGCAGCCAGATCCAGGCAGAGCAATGCTTGCCAAGTGGATTCTGTGGAATATCGCTGGAGACATTCCAGTTCTGGTTTCACTGAGTTGCTGGCACCAGCCCGTTTCAATTGTTGGGCATCAACTTGATCTGACAATTTGTGTGTTTCCCAAGGCGGATATGTTTTTTCGCAGGCTTGCGGGAAACCGAGCCAAGAGAAGCAGCCGGCAGGATGTCGTTGACCTGGGGAGCGCTTGCGAAGGCCTCAGCGGGCAGTTCATTCAGAAGCGAGCCCAGCACGATCGGGATACCAAACGCATGTAATGTTGGAGAGTGATGAATAAAGGGGCCCCCCCTCCCCCCCCCCTCAAACGAATTGGGGGGGGTCAATAGCGAAAACCCCAAAAACAAAATGGGGGTCAGACTGGGACCTGAGTAGTTTCCAGTAAGTATTGTTTAGATTTGGTTTAGAATTGGTTTAGTATTCCTTTGAGCTGGCTCACTACGGTTTAGAATTGGTTTAGTATTAGTTCAGTATTCTTTTCTGTTGACTCACTACAGTTTAGAATTGGTTCAGTATTGGTTCTTCTTCTTGGCAGGCTGCCCTGGCCATTTTTTCACAATTCCCTACCCTTAAACAAACTGCATTATTGCCTTCCTGGGGGTTCCGTGTGCCACCCCCTTGAAAATTTGTCACGGTGCATCTTCTAGTAAAGGGATTGATAAGGAATTTTGTGGTTTGGGACAGGAAGCAATGACATTTCTGGCTTTACCTGAGAACAGCGGGGCTTTCTTCTTGGCAGGCTGCCCTGGCCATTTTTTCACAATTCCCTACCCTTAAACAAACTGCATTATCAGGGTGCATCTTCTAGTAAAGGGATTGCTAAGGAATTTGGTGGTTTAGGACAGGAAGCAATCCAGAGATTCTGGACATTTATGGCTGGACTCAAACGTTTCAAACCTCAAAAATAGTTCATTCTTGGAAGGGAACATATTTTCGGATTTCGGGCAGATTGTTTTTTCTGTAATACCTACCCTTTTTGCTTTTTAGGAGAGTGAATAATTTTGAAAAAAAAAACTGTATTCACTCCCCTTTCATTAATCGCTATCTAACATTATGACGCGACAGGCGTCACTCAGCTCAGCGTGCTCCGACATGGTTCGGTTGGGAATTGTGCCAGGAAGATGCGATTGGGAAAGTCCCTTCATTGCAGAAATTCAGAACGACCGGCGAACAAACGACCGGCGCAACGGGAAAGAAAGCTGCCAACGTAGGCGTAGCTCAGAATCTGGGCGCCTTCTTGTAGTCACTGGCTTGCATCATTTAACCGACCAAGCTGGAGGGGTTCCTCAACCTCCCAGTTTTTGGACATTGTAGTTAGTGCTGCTTGGCAGGACCTTTTCTTGGCAAGAAACAAACAGTCCGGACTTGCTCGGGCCAATCCACTCAGGAAGTGGGGCCGAGCCTTCGTAGTTGGATTTTTGAGCACTGGCCAGGGGATGTCCAACGGTTCCAACGTTGTTGAAGTTTGTTTGCTTGCGAGTTGAAGGGGCCATAGCAATAGGGTGCATCCTCCTGGCCGCGGGCCCAGGTCATTGTTTGCTTCATGTTCCACATGCTCTTCATTGCTGCTGCTTGCCAGAAGTCAGGATTTTGGAGGCGAAGCGAGCTTTCGGGCAAAATATGTTGGTAGTTGTCCGTTAGAATGGCTGGCTTTCCAAGCGTTGTCAGCAAGTTCACCGAATATTGTTGCACGACTGGCGTGTTTGACGAGGAGCGCCACCGTACTGTTCATTGAAGGGTTTTGGCTTGCCAGTGCAAGTGAGCGACAACTTTCTTGAACTTAATCCCGCCTTGGCGCGGATTCTTCGGATGCTTTCCGGAGGAATCTTCAGTGATTTCACCGTGATGTACCCCTGAGTACCCCGAAATCGCATACTCCCTTGGGCGACTTTGGGCGAGTGCCACCTGCTAGCCAATGTATACGGATGTCACCTGCTCCTCCGTTCATAAAAAGCATTTGTTCATATCAGCCAAAGGAGCCAAAGGTTCCTCGAGCCGACGCGCTGAAGGTCTGGGCCTATGTCTTCTTCGACAACCCTGTGTGCCTTGGCAGACTTCGCAGAGAGCAAGTTGCAGCATGGGTGGCCTTTTTAGCGTTGGTCGTCATTTACCGGTGCCATCTATTTTGCCAACAGGAAGCATGGTATCAGGGGCCGCCATGCCACGTGACGCTTTCCTAACCTTTGGGCCGGGTAAGTTGGCAAGCGGGAGTCGCGGGATGAGCCATGCGGGCAAAGCTGTTTGCGATCGCCTTGGGACGACCTGTCACCCTGAGGCCCTTTCGATTACAGTACCTTGGCGGACCCCTCAGAGTCAACTTAATGTTAGCCTTAGGGGTTCTTATGGTAACCTCAACTCCCACCACTGTGCGTTTGAGAATTATAGATCTGAAAATGGTGCTCTGGCCCGTGGAAGGTAGCGGTAGCAAATGTAGTGATTTGAATCAACCAATTACACCAGTACAGCCAGTCTTGCAATTCGACCACACAGTTCCACAGGTGGATCGCGTAGTCGGGCTTGCTCCACAAAGCGTCTACACATGATCCACCACATGTCTAGCTTCTGCGGAGCTTGATCCACAACGTTTCCGCCCTCCGTCCACAAAGCCGCTGCCTTCTGCTCAACGGTCCAAACTGATTGCGCACCGCACCCTCACAAAACAACATACAAGAGTTGTCGACAAAGTGTTGGCGCCGTGTTGCATTTTGACGATGCAGTTCTGCACTTTGTCCTCGGGGCCAGGAGGTTGCTGGGAAGTGCCCGCGTGTTGCGCGCAATGTGTTTGCAGTCTGTCCACGGATTTCCCCCTGATTGTGTGATATTGTGTGTCCGCACTTCGTCGTCGCTTGTCCGCAGAGTTGCCACTTTCTGCCGACACAGTGCCCTCACTTTGTCCGCGTCTCCCACAGCCATACAATTAAAATCCAACCTCATTGCCGCCAACTGTTAGCAATTTGTAGTACAGTAAACAGTGTGCACGTGGGTCGTATGTGACGCACATGGATAGTTGCGTTGAAGGATTGGTTTCCCGCGATGCAACGCAACATGTCGCAGAGGTCAAGCGATGCCAAACACCGTTGTCTAACAAGACAAGACTTGCCGCGAGAAGTACTGGTCGCACTGAGGCAGTTTGCTACTTAGAGGGCAGCCTACCCCTTTACAAAAAGCCGCCAGGGGCGTTTTGGAACATGCATGCTTGTCAAGCTGAAAAAACAGCCTTTGCATGATCGCAAACAACTCTGACCATTGGACAAACGTCAAGCCATAGCTGAACATTCAGCAAGGCAATGAAGGTCAAGGAGGTCAGCAAACTGACCTATAGAAGTGAGAAGTCTCACACACGTGCAGCGTGCAAAGGATCCCACGGAGCACAAGCTGTAGCTTGTAAAGCTAAGGCACCGCATTGCTACTCGGATCGCTGAGCTGCCGCTGCCCCTGTATGGCAACGCAGGCAGTGGGGGGCTGACGGCCATGAGGCTCGAAATGTTCGCCGCAGGTTGGGGGAAGACCAACCAACCCCAAAAAAAACCGATCGATGGGTGGTTAGTTATTGGGTCGTTCTTCCCATCTTCAAGAACCACACGAAAACTCAAGGATCAGATGGGTGCAGTTTGGATGACTGGGAGTGCTTTCTGGAATCATACGTTGGCCCAATGCCAACCTGACCCCTGCCTTAGCGGGCAATGAGCTGCCTGAGCCAGTGCGTCAGCTTGAGTGAGTAAATAACAGGTCCATCCATCCATGATTATGTCACGATGTGTTTGCCTAAGCTAATTATTTGACGTGAGTTCTGAAGCGTCTTTCATGCTTGTTCCGGAGAACGTCCCCAAGAAGTCCCAGGTTGTGGAACAGCACTTTGCCCAAAACTTGACAGAAAGTTTCACAAACTCTGGTCAAGCAAAGCCCAACCGCAGTGCGGCCTTGCCAAACCATATCTTATTCTTAACCAACGGGGTCCCCACAGTGTCAAACTGATTTGCAAGTCCTTCAGCATACAAGCCATACTTCCAGCCCACTTCCGCGGGGTTCACGGACGTGGCGTTGCTGTGTAAATGCATCGTGTATTTGACGCTGTCATTCTTCATTGTCCTGGCCTGGACCTATCCTTCCCATTTAGGACATCCCCCAAATCACATCTCGTTTTGGCTTCGTGGCTCAAAATGCGTTGAAACATATTTGGAGACTCCCTGGCATGTTTGTGTGTGCACCATAACCCTCTCCTTGAGCAGAAGTTGCCCAGCAATTCTTTGAGAAATACATCTGCTGCAGGACGCTGATCTCCATGTCCTTTCTTTGTGGCACTGTCGCTTACATGCCCTTTGTTAGGATTCCGCTGGGGAGATTCATCAACCCCAATTCAAGTCACCCTCCCATGTGCAAGGGATGCTGTTGTTGGGATGCCTCAATGGGAAATACAAAACCGTTATGGAGTTTGGCGGGTTCCTTAAATCAAGTTTGCAGCATTGCCGATTTTGTTGCCAGGCTGGTACCGAAGCCTGGTCACGGCGGCCAGGGAGCGGGTCGCCGAACGCCGGGCGACTCATAGGGGCGCTGGAGAAGTGACTAAGGAAGCAGGGGTCGACCCAATCCTATTGTTGTTCTTTTCCAGCCAGTATGTAGGTGTAATGCACACCTTGAATGGCTGCTGAGATTGGTCCAGTTGCCAGAGAACGCAGACAGAGACATGATGTTACAGCAAAACTGCTACATAATGGAACGAGAGCTCCAGCCCAGAGCAGCAACATTTATATTGCAACCCAAACGTTTATATATGGCAATCTAGAAGCAGTCCAAACCACCACTTTTGACAGATTCCACCTAGGCGACACGCATGAGAACCAGAGTGACGTAAGCAGTACACATTCCGCGATTCTCAGTTGGGCCAGCCCATGTGAAGGGCGAACGGCGCGCGAGGTAAGAAAGCAGAGCCCTACATGGCCTTCCACCCCTTGCACGGCTTCATCTCCGCCGGGTCCCAAAGCTCCGACCGAGCTCGATCGCCAAGGCGCAAAGGTCGTCGGCAGGCCGAAGAACCTCCGCGGTTGAAGCCCAAGTTTCACAGACCTCGGAGTTGACCTGTGCTCAGGTCAGCGGGCGCGGCGGTGACAAGGCCCATTGAGCCGAGCGGGATAACTTTGTACTCTTTCGTATGGAGCGTACGGCACTCCCAGCATGTGAGTGCAAGGCTGGAGGCAGTTTGTCACTCACATCTCATATTTGGCGCGTGAAGATCCGGCACCATGTCTGAACTATGAAGCCGGTGACAGCACCAGAACACCTCACTTTGTGCATTGGGTAAAATCACTGCTAGAGTGTTTCCCCTTTTTTTCTTCTGGGGGGTCATCAAGCTGTGTGTGTGTGTGTAGCCATGATGGAGTGGATCAAGCAAGCATGATAAAATAAAGAATGACCTAGCATATTTGCAAAGCAAGTAGTCTTTGAGGTGTGTAGAGTCCTTGGCAGTCAATAGAATCGCTTGTCATGAACTGGGATCCAGGCCACCATGCCATGCAGCACCATGTGTTCAGGTCTAGGCGCAGTGTTCGCCAGCTTTCTGGGCCCTGTCCACGTTCCGCTTGAGCTTAAGCCGCTTCTCACCGCAGGCAACGGTGCCCTACTTGCCCCGAGGCGCTTGCGAGGGATGAGCTGCAGTGCAGATCTATACGGTTGGACCTGGTGAAGTGGCCCCGTTCATTCAATACAGCAGAGGGAGGTACCTTGGTGTCAACCTTGGGCGAAGCCGAAGTCAGTTTGACAGAAGACCATCAATGGCCAAATGACTCGTCGCAGATTGTGCTTCAGTCACTCACTCTTGAGCCTTGTGCCGGAATGTGAATGTTGCATACTTGGGGATGCCCTCAATGGATGCCCTCAAAGCAGGAGATTTCCTTACAGGCGTTAAGGAATGCTGCAAGCGCTGTGAATGGCTTTCGGAAACCGATGCCAAAATGGCTGAGTTGGCCCCACAAACCTCCACGCGTGTGCTTTGCCTTTGTGCCCCATGCCTCATGGGTTTTCATGAGATGGATGAGAAGTCCAGGTGCCAGCCAAATTGGCATCCTGCCTTCTCTCCCTCTCCCTTCCCTTCCCATTCTTTCCATTTTCTTCACTTCCATTTGCTTAAGAATATTGGTCTATTTTCCCTTGTTGGTGTTAAAAGGAATTTATCACTATCCAGGGGCCTTAACCAAATGGAAGTTCATAGCTAGTACCGGAAATCACTGCACCTGCCGTGCCGTAGTTTTCACAGGCGCGCATGTCCCAACCCCGCCAGGCCACGAGCTGCCGTTGGTGCTGATGAACTCGAAGGAGTATCGCCTGAGGCTTGCGGCGCAGTTGGGGGGTTTCGTGGCCTTGGAAACGAAGCTGGAAAGCTGGCACTGCCAGGGGAGCATTGTTAGGATATTGGTTTATGTTCGTAGGGCAGCGTACGCGCGGCGATGCTGAGATTTGGCATGTGGCTGTAATCATTAACCACTCCAGCATTGGTTTGATGCATGTATTCTTTCCACATGGTGTATAGGATGCCCTAGTGTCTTAGTTGAATAGAGAGCGAGGGGATACAGGCCATTTGTCGCAGGTATTCATGGTACGTGCTGTTTGCCGGCATATCACATCCATTGGCACAAGCTGGCTTGAAATGGAAGACCTGGTCAGCAGGATGTCATTGACTCGCTGGGGACAACCCCTCGCTGTTTGTGTTTGTTGGCGAGATTTGTTTTTGTGCGTCTGGAGCATGCTGTCGAATCCATGGCGGTTTTCCAATGGCCGGCTGAGTCCCTATGTGAGGCTCCACCAGGTAATGTGTACAGTGCATGTGTGCAGGCTGTATATGCATAAGTCGAGTATGAATGCATACATGATGCACATATTATGTAGGGGTCCCTTTGCGCATTGCCTTACATTGTCGCGATGCGTATTCTCCATTCAGTTCTTGGCCAGCGTACAGCGAAGAATGGCAGATATGCCTTCGTCAGTTCTTTGGAATTTCCTTTGACCCGCAGGCTTTCCAACATGAAGACATTCGTGAGCAAGGCGGGGTTGCGAAGCCTTGCGGAAAGATCAAGCTTTCTGATCAGAAAGACCTCTGTTCTCTGTTGGGAAGGGTTCCTCATCTTAGAGACCCAGTGCTTTGTCGTTTGGAAGCTGGATGTCGATCAAGTTAAGTCTTATCAATCCAAGACAAGGTACGTCAGGGCTTCAATCCGCAGCACCAAGGTCAGATGACTCGGAACTTGTACGAATGACTTTCTGGAAGCCGCCAACACTGTCATTAATTCTCAAGGATACTTGCAGTATTTGTTTGGGCCCTGCGGTCAAGACGAGGGGGCCACCTAGGCATTCTGTGTAAAGCAGGTCGAAAGAGGGCCTGTCAGCCAGTCAGGCGAAGCGGTCGGTAAAAGACGCGGCCAGGAGATCACACCGTCACCGGCAGCTAGGCGGCAGCCTTGGAGAGCCTCGATTCCCGAAAGACTTTCGGCTACGAGCCTTGAGGGTTAGAGAGCGCGGACATGATTCTTGCAAGGGCGTGGGAACTACAGTCGGGGAAGGTAGACAGAAGGTTTGCGCAAGCGTTGCGTCGTGGAAGCTTCGCGGCATAAGTAAACTCGCAGAAGCAGTTGCAATAAAAGCAGGCATGCGGAAGCAACAGTTTAGGCCGCCGAAGCTTCGCGGAAGGGCCGACGTTTCTCAATGTTTCTCATAGTCTGTCGGGTCACAGGGTTTTCTGCTTGACCAGGTCGTGCTGCATGGGTTTAACTTGACCACAACGAATCAAGCGCTTGACCTTTGAAACCATTAATCGTCGAATTCCCGAGCCACGGGGACACCGTGCCGTGTTGAGAGCCGAGCTAGCAGGTGGATGAGGTAGGAAAACGTAAGCTTTTCAACAGGTCTTGTCTTGTCGTTGCGAGTAAGTGCTTATGCCGGTCGCGCAGGCTGGCAATCCACCAGTGCCTCATGTACACGGTGCGCCGTGCCCGATCGGACGCTTCCCCAAAAACGGGTGATGTCAGGTTAGTTTCCGTTTTGGACATAAAGCCACAAAAAAGTTCCTGCTTCTGACACGCAACCATCTTGCAAGCTGGAGTAGGCGTGAATTCAAGTTTGAAGCCTGTTGTGCATTTTGTTGCTGCCACACCTTGCAAGCCAAGATGCGCACCCCCCCCCCACCCACCCCCCGAAGGACCTTTGACCTTTAATGTACGTCTTGAGGGTGCCGGATGATGTTTTTGTTCAGCTTGGCAACCCTCCAATCTCTCAGCCAGGTAGCGCACATCATTACCCACATCCCGGGTTCGACTTTCAGCACCAGCTTGGTGGACTTTGCTTGGCTCTCAGCTTCTCATGATGTTGGGTTCGCACTTTTTTCGGGGTTGGCCTTCCTATGCCTTGGCAGCAAGTGCCAATTGGTTGTTGCACTGCGTTGCAAATGATGCCGATGTGTGTTGGCAACTTGGTGTAGGAGACCAGGCCGACAACAGTGTTCCCAGCGCCTGGTGCAACATAACTTGTGCATTACTGCCTGCGGCTATTTGGATCGCGCTGATGTCCGCGGAAAACCACTGAGCCCTCGTCGGACACTGTAAGGTTGTGCGCGCCGAAGTGGCGTTGCCAGCTTGCAACACGACCTTTTGAAGTGAGCGTGTTTCATCCTGTTGCCGGAGCGCAGGGCAGCCGGTGGTCCCTAAAATTGTTACGTATTCCCCTTTCAAGCCATCAACCCACGGCAGCCATGAAGATGCCTGAGGTCTTTCGTGCATCCTTCCTGCTACACCAGGAGGTGGTGCATGCCAAACAAGCCAGCAGGCTGGGGGATTGGATGAGCTAGCAAAAGGGGATGTGTACTTTTTGGCATTTTCCAGACCCCCATGTTTAGCACCCAGCTACGCGAAGGACGTAAAGCTACAAGCGCAGATCAAGCGCAGAAGCCGGCACGCGGAAGCACTTGTTCCGACCATGTTCCGACCATGTTCCGACCCAGGGCTGTTTTGGATCCTAAACGATTGTCCGAAGGGAATTTGGGGGTTTGGTGAGAACAAAGACTTTTGCTGTAGTTTACTGAGTCTAATGTCATTCGTTGGGGTTGTCAAGCTTTGCCTCCCAGAAGGAACATGAAACTGCGAAGTCTGGCTTAGAGCCTGACTTGTCGCCTGTGTGTGTGTGTGTTACTTTTGCCAAAAACAAACTTGAAGAGGCCATGTATACAAGAAAGCGAGCAGCCACAACCGACTGCCAAAAATCCTTTGCCAGGCTGGCACCCACAGACGTGGCGAGGTCGGGGCCGCAACTCGCAGAGCACTGAACATGCAACTCCAGCTCAGTTTCCTGCTTCGCATTTTAGCTTGGGTAGTTGCCAGCTGTCGAAGCTTGAAAGCGTCGGTTTGGACCTTGTTTGTTCGACCATGATAAGCCTGTGGACGGGATGGAAGGCTGATAGAGCGTTCGATGTCCGGCTTGTTGCTGGAATTTGATGGTCAAACATAAGTTCTTCCGACTCTCTCGCTAGCCACTCAAATTGTGGAAGGAACTGTGTGTCTCCAGAATACATTGACAAACTGCATATTTCTTGAACAGGTCAAGGAGGAAGGCAAGTCCAACAGTCAAGGAGGGGTTCCCAAGACTAAGGCTGTCCAACCTTTTGAAATCCGATTGTCTCTGAGGCACATCCTGAACCAAGCCGCCAAGGCGAATGATCCCGTGTTGCTGCACCTTGGCAAAGCAATATCACCTCAAGACATGCATTTCAGATGTCGAATTCGTACTCACACCAGCACAGTGAGTTTTCAGGGGTGCACACGCTCAAAGCATGCCAGTGGACCAGTTCAGGAGAAATCGTCCAAGGTTCCAAGCCATTAGGCTGTGTCCAGATCAACACATCCACTGGCGCCATGCAGATTTGGCTGATTGGAATGAAGCTTCGTTTCGTTTTTGTCCCTTGTTACACTCCGCTTGCACACTTCGAGACTATGATAAATTGTGAGGCCGCAGCGGACTGCATCCTGCACGTGAATTGTGGCTGTGACAGTTCGACCCTGAGGCGTGATGAGGATGAAGATAGCCGTGGGCTTAGATGAGAGACGCCTTTCATAGATTCAGCCTGACGGGTAAATGGCCACGACGGTGTTGGCAACCAGTTGGCCAGTGGATCAGCAATTCACTGTGAAGCTTGGAAAGCCGAATTACTAAGCAAGCCTTTCAACATTCAGTTAGCCTAGAAGATCCACCCGCTGTGTTGAACAGTTCTACTGCGAGGCCGGGCATGAACTGCATGAGCAAATGTTGGCAAGAATTCAGTTGTTGGTGTCGTGTGACTTTCGGGGCCTGCACGTCTCCTGTGAGGAATTGCCATTCTGTTTGGCCCTTTGGCTTGTCTCAGACATTGCAGCTTGATCTAGTGTGCATCTTTTACTGCAAAACTACCCTTCCCCCCCCCCCCCCCTCGTGGGAACTTGGGCCCTGACTTGTATGGTGCTGACTGACACTTCTCCACGCCGCTTATGTGCCCTGCAGGTGAGGAAAGCGATCCCAATCCGGACAAGGCACGTCGGCCGCTTTTTGTGGGGTTTTTGGTTCTCAGCAAGTCGATCCGATTTGGGGGAGGGAGTGAATCCTAGAGTTTCATGTATGGTTCCGTATCCCAGCGGCAGAGCTAAATCTTTGAATGCTGTCCTCCTGAAGGTAGGGAGCATCATTCCACCTAAGTGCTAAAACCAGCGGCTCAGCACCACTGCGCAAGTCTTGGCAAGCCCATTGCAAGGTGAGTCATGTACCCCATGGTTTCAAGTCTTTGGGTTGATTCCCAAGCAATTTGTAGCTTGTCCCTTTGTTGTTTTTGGACATTCACACCAGGGTGTTTGTTGACATGTTTGACATGTCCCGTGGGAAGCATGTCGTGCAAGTTTGGCATGACCCTTTGCTTTTGCAATGGTGGCCAGTTTGCCGGGGTGATATTTCCTTTGGTCATCCAAGTACGAGGGCTTGAAACGCGATGCAAGATTGCATGGTCGCACTGCAGGAGCCTCAAAAGAAGGCCGCCATGCGTGCCCTCGCCAAGGACCGAGACACCGCATGGGGCAAGCGAGCCACACTGGACCTAGATTTGTGTGCTGAATACATAGCCAAATAGCCTATGTATATATATATATATATATTATAGATGTTTCAAGTTTACCCAAGCGGAAGCCAAACGGGATGGGCTTGGCTGGGCTACGTTTAGTTCTCCAGACCCGGTGTTTAGCACCCTGCAGCCAGAGATTTGGGCCTCAGGAGCTCCGGGAGCACCAGACCTTGCAGCAGTACGAGGCTATGCAAATGGGCGGGCTCAGGGGCTGAGGTCGGCCTGCCCCTTGGCAGTTCCAATGTTGACACGATTGGAAGGCTGTGCGGTTTGGTTGGCTCAGGAGAAAAATAAGACAGAGTTCCGGATTCCCGAAGGCCCCGGCATTTGGAGCAATTTCAATTTTGAGACGCAAGGAGGGATGCATCATCATGTCAACGTTGCTGGGAGATTCAAATACCCAGGCTTTGATCTGAACGCAGCCATCCTCTTGACTGCCAGGCCTATGGCCACTGGCAACGCCTTGCTGCCAAGATCAGAGCTGAAGGCCGGCATGGTTCTAGTGTCCGTTGGAGAAAACTTTTGGCGGCGCTGTGCCACGCTTGGCACCAATCGCAGGGAATCCATTTGCGTTTCTTTAGGTCGTCCCTGGTGCTCATGGCTTGTAAATCAAAAGTGTGGCATCAGAGGTAGTATAATTCATGCATGCGTTGGGTGCCACTGCACAGGCACAGTTTGAGCAACAAGTTGTTTGAAGGAAACGACGTTGAAAAGCACAGGCTCCTTCGTGGCCCGGCCAGAAGCTCTATGTTCATGCCAGGTCGACCGGTGACACGGGAAGACTTGCTCCCCACAGGTGCCAGCCTCGGATAAGTTATTGCCCTGGGCCATAGACCACAACAAACGCAACAAGATGAGTGGTGGTGAGCCTGGCCAAGCATGCCTACTGCTTCATGCCGGCCGGTTGGGACCTCAATCAGAGGGAAACGCATTTGGTTGAGTTGGTTGCATGTTGAAATCTCTGCATGTCAGAGCGACATGTCAAAATGTCAAAGGAGATCGATTAAGACGTGCGCACGCGAGCGAGCGGCGCGTTGCGATGCTTGCACCTGTGCGTTTGTGAGTGCGTGGGTCCGTGTGTGCATGCGTAGGCTGCGTGTGTGCATGCCTGCGTTTGTGCGTGCTTGTGTTTGTGTGTGTGTGTGTTTGTGTTTTCCTCTGTGCGTGCGTTTGTGTCAGTGTTTGTGTGTGTGCCTGTGTTTGTGTTTGTGTTTGTGTCTGTGTCTGTGTCTGCGTCTGTGTCTGTGTTTGTTTGTGTTTGTCTGTTTGTGTGCGCGTGTTTGTGTGTGTGTGCATGTGTGTGTGTGTATGCATGCTTGAGTGGTGGTTTGTTTTGCGTGCATGTGTTTGGTAGTATTTGTGTGTGTGTGTGTGATTTGATGGTTGCTTGTGTTTGTTCACACGTGTTTGCGTTTCTTTGTTGGTTTGGTTTGGTTTGGTTCGGTCCGGTTTAGTTTGCTTGTTTGGTTGTTTGTTTGTTTGTTTGTTTGTTTGTTTGTTCGTATGTGTGTGTGTGTGTGTTGAGGTGTTTGGTCTCTGTTCCCAGGTGACGCGCAGCAGGCCAGCAGCCGATTGAAGGGCACAACCGCTGGTGTGTCGAGTGTGTTTGTGTATGCTTGCGTGTGTTTCAAGCGCAGGTTGTTGATGTGTGTGTGTGTGGATGTGTTTCGTGGAGTGTGTACCCTTTAAAGGGTCGGTTTAATGGGAAAACAAACCGAACCCCAGCATTTTATCTCTCTTTTTTTTGGGGGGGTACCCTTTGATAGGTTGGTTAAACCAAGAAGAAAAACAGTCATTGACTTCGGAGGGCCAATACCAATGTCTAGCCTGGCTCCCAATATCCTTGCACTAAGCTTATGATGAAGCTGACGCCTAGATTGCCGCGAGGTTCTCAAAGTCGCCAACTGATGTAGACGGGGCTGGTACTCATATAAAATTGCTTGTTTTGTTCGGTGGCTTGCTTGCGTGCTTGCTTGCTTTCTTGCTCATTGTTTTCTTGTCCTTTTGGTCACCCGCCTGGGAACAGTTAATGGAGCCTTTTGGCGGCTCTGTTTTTGCAGTGTGCTTGCTGCTGAAGAGATCTCGGAATTTGGAGTGGCACCAATATGCACAGAGTGCATGTAAGACTCATATGCATATTTGGGTGTCAAGCCGGTGATTCCAAATGGGATAATGCCTGCACAGCCGCACGCCATGACAGGCCAATGAGGAGTTGCTTGATAAGGAGCCGAGCTGTCAGGCCCGGGTGCAAGCTGCCATCTGGAATGGTTCATGACAAGCAATAAAGTTGGGGAATGCAGCGACAAAGAAAGCTTGCCTTTTTTAGGGGAGGCCGGTGGATTTGCTGGATTCGATGCTCGAACGGGCTTGGTGTGTGCGTCACCCTCATGTGTTGCACCGCATGGTGTTGGTGTGGCTGTAGTACCACGTGGCACCAAATTGCAAAGGCATTGAGTGTGCTCACTCTTGGATTCACGATTGCAACTTCTGAATCCTTCCTTCCCGTTCTTGCCAGCACGACTTCGATGATGATCTGGAGAGAATCTATCGCAAGAAGGCGGGACCTTGTGAGCTTTGTGCCATGTTGCCACAGACGCACAAGAATTCACCCCAAGATCTCAGTTCAGACTGCTTACTTTACAAATATCAACGCTGAAAGCTGCTTTGAAGCTTCTTGTGCCCAAGTGTGATCATGGCATCATGGGCATGCTGAATTCCAATGGTTGGAAAGGGCTTATTTTGAGCCATGGCGAATAATGCGTCAAGAGCAGCTGCGTAGCAGCAACTCAAAACACACCATTGCGGCTTGAGTCGGATCAACCCCATGCGACGTGGCCCCTGTTTCCTTCGCTTCTTGTTTTGCGGGATTGATGCACCAAGAAAGGGAATCTCAGACTGTGGAATACGCTTTCCCCATACCTCCTTGATTGATGTTCGCGAATTTGGCGTTGGCACCTTGTAATAGCATGGCATCCCACACGGTCGCCCAGCAGTTCAGGCCGGCCTTCTAATTCCACTGGCTGGCAGCGGTCCCCCGATGCAGACTCTAGTATGTTCGCTTGAGAAAGGCCCCACTCATGACACTAGTATGGCTACAGGCCACAGATGTTTGCCTGCATTTTTGTTCATCCCACAGGTTCACTTGGAAATGGCGCCTCGTTTGTGCGTACATGCAGTTGTGTTTGCCACTAGATCGATCCCCCTGTCGTCAGCTTCGTCTGGTGTCGCACATGCTGGCCAGCACTGAGCGCAGGTCTCTGCCATGTTCTCCCAGTGGATCTTTGCGCATGGCATGCGCATGGCTGGGCAGCCCAGCATTGGGCTCCTTTAACCAGCCAACCGCTCTCTTGGCTTCGGCTTGGGTCGCTCGTTTTGGCTTGGCTTTGGGAATCCTGCCCAGGCCCGGTTCGCATGTGATTGAAAATCCATGGGCCTGTCAGACTTGTTCCAGGGCATGTTTTCCGAACGTTTCCGAATGTGTCAGCCAACTCCCTTTATTTGCATTGGTTTCGACTAGTGGCATTTGTCTGAGGAACACACTGGGAAGCTTCTTTGCAAATCCTGAAATGAGTATGGATAGACCCCGAATGAAGGTTTGAATTGTAGAGCTTGGCTCCCCACCCAAAAGCCAAAAAACCACTCACAATCTTCTGAGGCGGAACTGCAACAGAGCATGGTTCGCGGCCCAGATGCGCATATGGCGACAGGAAGACGTTAGAGTTATTTAGAAGTTTTTCCTACATGCACCTCAAATGCTCAGACCTGTCACATAGTACAGAGCATGGTGCTTTGTCGGCGTTCGCCTTCTCCTGTGCAGGCAGCTTGATTTTCCATTTGCTGAGCACGAAGTCCTGTTGCATTGGCTGAAGTTTGGCGAAGGCTGGAGATAGTCCAAACCACTTTTGTTGTTGCTGGACATGCGGCAGACATGTTAATTAAAATACCAGGTGTTGATGTGCGCATTTGTGAGAGCACCGGAAGCTGTCAGTGAACATACGTACATATGTAATTTGAATCATAGAAGGGTCAACAAAACTACAGCATGGATTGAAGAACAACATGGACGTATCAAACTGAAGCCAGTCAGCCAGAGGCGAATAGCGCTGGTTTGACTATGGGCCCCTATGCGTTAGCGAGGCCTTGCTTCGCTCGCTGCCCCCGGCAGATCTCAAGGCGCGGGTCCGAAATGTTTGGGTTGCAATCACTGGTGTCTTTTTCGAAACGGAGGCTTATAATTGGCCCATGGTTTTCGAGGTATGTGCGTTGGTGAGCTGAAACCTCAGTCTGTGCTGCGAAGAACACCGGGGCAGGGCGCCGTTTGAGGAGCGAGTTGATGCCAACGGGTGCCAGGGGGGAGGTTGCTGCGTGAGAAAAACGATACCTATGTTACTGATGGGCGTAGGCTTTCGCAACAAGCAAATAGCTTGCAGGCCCAGCGTTTCCGGATGGTTATTGCTGCGATCCCGATCTGAGCGAAGCAGTGGTTGCACGCGTCATGTCGCAGCCAGCATCACGCAGGCTAGATTAATGGTGCTTTGTGAACAATCCAAAACCAGCAACAGTGATGTAATGATGACGGAACATCACAGCGCAACCACAACATCAGCCACAAGTACAATGCTGTGTGCGCAGCTGCTGGCTCCCACTTTTGCTACTGCTGCGGGCAGCGCTAGGCTCACTACTGTTTTGACTATGTTGCTGTTTGTCAGGCAACTGCTTGCAGCTACTACAGGCAACTGTCAAAGTCGTCCCTTTGTTTCGAGTATGTAGTGATTCCATGTGCTTTTGGCGTTTATGCCGCTACTTCCCATCACGCAAGACTGAGCTATGATCGTTGCGATTCCGTGGGGGGGGAAGCCCTGGAGAGAGACGACATTGGGTTGATTTCTTGGATCTTGCGGTTCCATGCGGCAAAGCGTGATTGGTCATGTCACATACCACAGTGCTTCCCGCGATTGGCTGTTTTGGCCTCAGGTGTGGCTTGACATCTTCGAACGAGAATGGCTCTTTGCTGCTGGCCAGCAGGGAGATGGTGTGTTGGGTCAGTTGGTTCACATGATTCCTCTTCAATTTCCACATCGGTTGCTTTTTGGATCCCCTTGAGACTTTCCATGGCCACATGTCCTGTCAAGGGAGCAGTGGCTGCAATCAGCAGCAGCGGGGGCAGCATGGCTCCATTGTCCAATGGCGCCATACGGGAGATCCCAGCTGCATCCTTTCCAGCCATCTCCGCTTGCAAGCCAAGCAAAGGCACTTGTTGGGCCTTTGTCTCTGACGCTTTTCAAGTCACCTTCCATGCGCTGCTGAGGAGACCCTCAACGCGGACAGACTAGTTCGCCGACCTGCATTGGCGGAGGAGGCAAGCAGATGGGCGTTGACAGTTGCAGTTGATGGAAAGGGAAGAATCGCGAAATACATGCTTGCCACATCCCCAAGTCCGTGCGGTGCCTGAATGGGCTGGAGAAGACCATTTGGATCCATTTCGGAGTGCAAGGTCCGGTGGTCAGAAAGAGGTCTTTTGTGTAGCCGCTTCGCTTGGGCTCGTGACATCTCCCTTGAACATCGCCCATCGTTGGGATCCCGGATATGAGCTCAACGATACGTTGCTTGCTGTGAAGTAGCGGCCGCTTCAAGCAGAGCTTGGGCCCTTAGCGGCGGTGCGCAGTGGTGCGAGTGGTGCGCACGCTACTTGCACCAGTGTGGTTCACGGGCAGGGTCCCAGCGACTTTGCTCGTTTGTGCTTGCGAATCAGCCAATACTTGTATTAATCATGGTTGACTGTGAAACGTCACAATGTGCCATCGCTGACAGCAAGGCAGTGGTGCCATTCGAAACGCTCCTGTTGCGCAGGGGCTGTTGGGGCATCACAGTTAGCTCTTCCACCTTTGCACGGGCCTTTCTTTGGCCTCACTACTAGTGATGCTACGCCTTCTCGAATCAATTGATCATATTTGCTGGGCACGTGCTGTCCGACAGGTCGAGACGCAAGCAGAGTCAGAGGCGCGGCTTAAAGCGAGGTTTGGCTTGAGGTCCAACAAGTTGGCTTCCAGAGTCCACGATGTTCCCCACTTGGGCGCGACGCAACGTTGTTTTTGTTATTTTTGTGCAGAGCTTAGTTTCTAAAAGACCGTCGTGTTTTCAGAATGCTTGTTGGTTTTCGAAGCGGTGAAGCATGACTTGGGAATCATTCAGTGGAAGGTCTTCAAAGAGAGTGACCGCAGATGGGCTGAGCTGAGGGTGGAGTTGACCAGCCACAGTCATCTTGAGGCGTGATAGTTGCCTCACCGAAATGTCTACATAAGGTGGTTCGTCCATCCATCCAGCCATCCATCCATCCAGCCATCCATCCATCCAGCCATCAGGCAACCAGCCCTGGTTGATCTGGAAACTTTTTGCCAATTGGATCTACAAAACCAATTGAGGGCCTTTGCCCCATTGTTGCCGGCAGGTTTAGTCGGGAATCATCATTGAAGGTCGTAGCATTTTCCATATCATGAAAACATGACAAAAGCGCTTGGGTGCAAAAACCCAGGGCCCAGGACGTACCCTTCTGTTAATTGAATGGGGTTGGTCAATATGGGCTGAACATTTGGCCTTTCTTGCACAGGTCCTGGAGATGCTGGGCCCTTGCCGCATCAGGCCAGTGCTGGCCTATGCGCTGGCGACTGCCTCAAGCTGCGGTCAACGCGCCGCATCCGCATCGCGGTTCCCACCATGCGGCGCGTAGGAAGGTTTACGCCGCGTTTCCCTTAACAGTCAGCCATGAAGCTAGGCCAAGCAAACCACCCAAGCAAGAAGTTGGAGCCTGCTGGCTGCTGATAGCTATCATGCCCCCATGGCAGTTGCAAGTGACTCAATCATGCGACCAAGGTGCAGTGTAAGCGTCATGCCTGTTTACAATGATTGTTTTTGTTTCTCACCGCGGGACTACGATGCATCCGTTTGTTGTTTTCTTTGCGCCAAAATTCATCCAGGATGTTGTGGCCTGTTTGTCCAGCCTTTTGTATTTGGTTCCTTTGTCGCATGAAGAGCAGAATGCCGATGGACCTTTTTGAGGCATCTCCAGTCTCTACCATATGCGCGGGCTCGTTTTTCACCCGAGCCGAGGAGCGGGAGGAGGTGAAGCTGGACGCCGTGAGCCCAGCAGGGCTCAAGGCTAAGAGGGTAACACGAGGTGACACCAACTCGCGATTTCTGACCAGCGTGGCTTCCTTTTGGCTTCCCTCCAAACCTAGGAACAGGGTACCCTCACAAAGACACAGACACCTAAAATGCAGTGGAGCATCAAGAAGCCTGTGGGGTTGTATAAGAACCCCGTGCCGTTTGATTTAAAGGGGCGCAATCCGTTCCCTTGAAAAAAATGAGCAGGATGTTGATAGGCGGTATGATGGGTGGGACGCCGTTACTGTTCTACGAACATGTGAGCAAACCTTTGTGCCGGATTTTGTTGCGGGGTCGGACGACAATGCCGCTGAGTCCAATCAAAGCATGGGGGAGGGGTTAGAATCGACACATCCTCCGAGCCACAAGGATTTTTTGGAGGTTGGGTTCATTGCGACAGCAACCATATTTTTGTCGCCTTGTTTCGTGCAGTTGTTTTGTGCACTTGCCGCGGCTTTTTGCTCGTTGTTTGCACCAGTTGGCGAGCTGTTTGCCCTTGTTGCATTTGTTTCTTTTTCCACGCACTTGGTGGGAATACCAGTGCACGGCGTCCAAACCAGCCTCCCACTGTCTCAAAAGAGGAATTGCTGGGCGATGAAGTGCTCCTTTGCAGCGGACAGAACATTGTCACAATGGCGGGCGGCGCTTCTCACAGCCGATTTCTCCGACAGTTCCTTGCGAAACTGGCAAAAAAAAAGCCTCAAGCAGCTGGGAAGATAGACGCCGCGGTGGCTGCAACGGTCGGTATGGCCCATCAGCCTTGTGGTCAAAGACAAGCTGCGGCCGACTCACTTGCCCAAAATGCGTCAAGGAGGCGAGGGCCTGGACATGCAACGCAGTTTATTGAGTTACAAGCGCCTGTACTTTGCCTCTGCACGGTCAGACGGCCTAATGGCATGTCCTTGCATTACAAAGGCTTTCACATTGCCTTGGTCAACGCCCTGCGCCGCGCTGGTCGCACCCCTGCAGCAGAATTGTCCCGTGTAAAACACTCAAACCGCCAACAGCCCATGTGCGCATCTGCCCGCGCGCCCATGCGCACGCAGGCACGCCCGCCGACCCCTGTCAGCAATCTTTAAACGGATACGTGTTTGATCATGATCTTTAGGCTGTGTTCGAAAATGAGTCCCGCGCGTGTTCAAAAATGAGCCACAACTGATGTTCAAAATTCACTGATTTTGTCGACTTCACGTCGGCGCTTGCGGTTGCACTGTTTCATGTCGTTGTGTTTTTTAGCCACGCGTGCCAGGGAAGAATCGAACCCGAAGTTCGACCCCAAAGCGTTGCTCTGTGCAGTCGCAAAAACCATCTATCGTCGCAGACAGCTCAGACTCACGGAGGTTTGCGGGCCACTTTCCTTTTGTATGGACATCCCAGGCTTGGCATTCCATGTGGCCTGTGCTTGTTGAGGCTCAGCTTAAGGTTAATTGCAACATAACGATTTTTTTTGGCACCAATGAGCTTGTTTCACTGTTCAGGGTGGTCAGCCGCAGGCAAAGAGAAAAGCACAACATCTGATCACTGTCGAACAACTCCCGAACAACCTGTCACAAAGCCCGAATTGAACACTCTCAAACAACCTATCCTTTGCCTTTTTGGCATTGATTCGAGTTGTTTTTCGACAGCTTTGCTTTTGTTGCATCACAATAAGGCTTTCTGCATCGGAAAAGTTGTTTATTCGCACTAGCTGTCGTTGATTGGTGTCTTTGCCGATGCCCGCAACGCAATTCTAGCGAGCTCGGTCATTGGAATGATGCACAATTGACTCAAGCTATGCCTCTTTCCACCTGTTGACACAGGACATGCCGAGTTCTCAGTAAATGGAGTGTGTTTCTTGTTTTAGTTTTCGAACCAGCGATGCTTTCGTAGAAGCATTGGAACAAGAGGAAGGGGTCAACAATCAAACGCGTGATGTGCATGATTGGCAAACCGTGAACCTGCACGTGAAGGCCATCACATTGTTTGCGTGCACAGGCAGAATCTTCTTATCATTTCGGCAATTATTTGCTTTGCTACTTTCAGGGGCGTTCTTCTAAAGGGCCAAAAAGAAACCGGTTCACACCAACCCAGCCAATCAATGAAAGTGGGATAAGGGGAAGGAGCTTGAAGGTGGCATTGAAGTGGACTCGGCTCCTCTTCTGGTACACGTCTGGGCAGTTCTGCGTCTTCAAGGCTGGGCCACGGGAGCCAAGATTGGATGCATCGTTCTTGCCGCACACCGCTGTTACACTGGAAAAAAACTAGGCCATCCTCAACACCCGAAGGGTTCGAACAGAAATCGATGCGAAGTCCTGACTGCTTTTGTTGCGCGGTGTCGCACAGGTTGCGGATTAGGATAGGGATCCCCACTCTGCACAATATAGCTGGATGGGATGAACAATTTGGTCATGGCATGTAAGACACGCATCCTCGGCATATCGAAGCCTTTCTTCGGAGTTGTTGAGATGGCCGGCCCGGACACCAGAAATTTGTTTCAGGCCAGCAAGGCAGGACCAGCCAGCTAGCTTCAGAAAAGAAGGGCCAAAAGATGCAATTTTGCTGCCAGCCGCCAACATCTACAAGGGAACCTGCTGAAATAAGTCGAAAGCTTACAGCCGGGAGTTCTTCCAGGCATTGTGCAAAGACCAATGACTGCAGGTTCCAAATCATGGAAACCCCGGAGTGCTAGCAACTAGCGACCATGCTCTTGTGATTTGTGAGGTTGATGAAGTGAGACTTTGCATGAAGGAGATGCCTTCAGACCATGTCTCATTGATCAGGAATGCTGCGTTGGCTTGTGCTTTGGCCAAGACTGCCCATTTGAGGAACGCCCGTCTTCAGCTGTTGTTGAGCAGCAATATGCTCATTGCATAATTATGTGTACATGTTCTTCCGAGCGTTCAGGGCTCCTACTCAGACGCATTCCCAGTCAGGCCTACGCAATACAATTCACAACCATTCCGTTTTGTGTTTCCTTCCGAGCCGATCAACCAACGCTTGGGCAAGATATGTGTCGCGAGTTCCGTGCCCACCGTTGCGCAGTTGGCACACCTGAAGTCGGTGCGGCGGGTCCCCAGCTGCCTTTGCGCACATTCGATGTGTGTGTGTGTGGGCAAGGCGTCATTTTTGGATTGGCCCAAGCTAGACTTGAACCCAAAGGGGTTGATGGCCCTCAAAGGGAAACCCCTCCCTGACTTTGAGAACGTAGGCGCAGACAGAAGACATGGAACCCTGAGCGTGTGGGCTTGTCTCCCATACGTTTCATGTTTAGCATGAATAAGCACGCTCAGTGAAGATTGAACCCTGCTGGCCGATAATTTTGAATTATTTTTGCTTCAGTGAAAATCCATTGATTTCCCTCAGCTTTTGCCCTCAACTAAAACTGAGGTTTTTGGCGTATCGCCCATACACCGCAACATGTAAACCATGATGCAGTTTATACAACAGGGAAACTACTTGCCTTAGCTTGATTGGATGAATGTGTCGAAGTTGCCATTTGCACACCCGGAGGATGTGTTTGAAACTGTCGAATCGAATGCTGGTGGTGGCCCACATTTGGCAACACTCCTCCCTTGCAGGGCTTACCCTTCGGAAGTGTTCAGGGAGGTTCCCGAAATCTGCAGCTTTGTGCCTCTCCAAGGCAACGGGGCCAACGCAAGCAGCTTCACGTGCGTGCCTGAGTGACTGGTCTGACTTCAATAGAATGAGGGCTTCGAACGAAGTCGCCATCCGGTACGCCGAGTGGCCACATCCCAGGAATTGTTGAAGTGGCTTTGGCAAGCCTTTGCCATGCACAACCGAATGCAAGCGATAGTTGGCCAAGCTCATTTGAGGGCTGATGTGCATACACCACCATGTACATACCTGTGTCACTTGCCGGCTTTGGATTAAGCGCCAAGCCAATCTCAATTCCTGGCAAGCGTGTCAAGTTGCTTGTCAGCCAAGGCATCTTTTCAGCTCTCAAACTGACATCCCACATGCCAAGCTTTCCTGTGATCAAGTATTTCCGTGGCTGGCATTGAACATTCCTAGAGGTTATTGCCAAACACAAGCGGATGGGGGGCAGATGGCTTTGTTTGGGTGAACTGGGTTTGCTTGGGTCGAGCATGTCCCAAGCTAGCAGCATCCTGAAAGTTGGCCAGGACGCGCCTGAACTGCCAGCTTTGCGCAGATTTGAGGCTGGAACGCTGACCAACCAGCCATGCAAAGGGCCTGTGCTTGTGGTGGTTTGATGTGTGTGTGTGTGTGAGTGTGTATGTTGATGCCTTGCCGGGCATGTTACGGAAGGTAACGATGACCATTGGCAACATCTCTCAAGCTTTTGATGCTCTTGAACGTCGCCCTGTTGCTGGACAGTTGCTGGTGCTGGCCAGTGTTTGCTCTCAGCTATCTGCGTACTTTTGTCATCTGAGTCAGAAGACAAGACGGGCAATCTGCAGGCACTTCAGAGCAGATCTTTTGCATGGGACTCTCCCACACTGGTGACCACGTTTTGATCCTTGACTCGAGCCCAAGAGGCCAGCAGATCTCTACTGCTGGTGCGTGACGAGGTGGGGGCAATGTGGGAGACGCGATTTTCTGTGTAAAGAGCCATGCCAACCATCCCCTGGGTCCTTTCATACCAGTTGAGATGCATGCTGGTATGTGCCTGTGTTCTGCATGAATTGCTTTCATGCCAAGAAGCTGCCACGTGGCACACGCCTTTACCGCAAAGGCGCGTGCCACTGTTTGGGAGTCTGGCAAATTCAAGCAACTACCCATCCCCCCCGATTTGGTTCCCTTCAGGGTAAATCAGAAACGTTGGGCTTGCAAGAAGACTCGACAGTAAATGAGCAGCGTCAATAGGTATAGAATGCAAAGGTTCTCACATCTTCTGAAGTACCGCTTGGCCAAACGACTCTCGTGGCAGAGATTTGGTCGGGAGGAACCAACCAGTTCCAGGGACCCTTGCATTGCACTTCTTCCCATTCCCTTTGGGCAGGTGCTTATCCATGTGCCATATATATATATATGTTGCAGCTTTCCTGCATGTTCTCTTACGTATGCTTTGCTCAAAATAGGTGGTGTCCTGGTGTCCTTTGGTTTCCCTCTAAAACCATCAAAACTGGTATCCTCCAAAGAAGGCGCCCTTTTCGAACCGCCGGCTTAAAATCCCGTCGGCTTTGCTCGCAGGCAAGAACCGAGTATCGGCAATCTCTGTGAAAAGTGGGGGCAAGCTGGGCACGGCGTGTGCTGAGCTGGCTGGTCAAATCATTGTGCAGGGGCCCTTTGATCCTTTGGCAACGGTACGTAGATGTTTGCCTTGGTTGGAAGTCTCCTTTTTATTACAAAGGCGGCATGCTGAACGCTTGCATGCATGCGCATGGAATCAGTCCCTTGCCCTCAGTGGAACTGAATGTTCAAGGCTTCTTGCCTGACCACGACTTGATGACTGGCAAGGCATCGAAGCACACACCCGGCCGGTTTTTGGCAGTGAAGGTCATGTCCAAGGATCTACACGCTCTTTTGACTGCATGCAAGCTGGCTTCTGGAAGGATGTCGATCTTCGGGCCTGGCCTGGCGACTGCCAGGAAGAGGGATTTCGACGGCATTCGTGTTCATGTGTTTCCAAGTCTAGGTGTCTAGAGTGTTGCAGCTGCCGACACAACCTTCTACCTTATAGACGGCAAATGTGTCGCAGAACTATGTTGTTTGCCTGCCACTTGAGAGTTAAGTGAACTAGGCAAAAGTGGCAAAAAGCATGCTCGACTCACCTTAGTTTGGGCTTCAACATATGTTCCGGCCGGGAAGAAGCTGATCTTTTGCAGTTGCTGCCACTGTATTCTCTTCTCGCCGTGCGTTGGGCTCTTAGCTGTAGACTGGGCCTTTTTCCCTCCAGACGCCTAGTCTTACGCTTGGTGCCTTGTTATGCGAGCCAAGGCCGCCATGTTTGACTCTTGATTGCACATTTGTTGCAGTTCTGATCTTGCGGCCCTGCACATTTGTAAGTCTTTCGGGCGCATCAGGTCACGGACAACATAGTAAAAACATGGCATACAAAGGGATAGACGATAGACAAAGGGATCTGTTGCTTGCTTTTGTATTGGAAAGGGGCTGCACAGCCGGGATTCACAGCCAGCCTCCATTTCCAAAGCAAGGTGTCGTCAGCCACCAAACTTCCCAAAAATCAGCCACAACTCCGCAGCAATCTGATAAGGCACTTGGGCACCCGAGCGCAAGGCACTTGGGCACACGAGCCAAAGGCTCCTGTGCCCGGAGCTCTCATTTTCCCAATGTTCCGCGGTCGCCTTCAGCGCGCGTGCCGCGAGTTGGCACGGCACGGGCCTTTGGAGCGGCTCGGCGCAAGCGTTTCCGATGGCTTCTCCAAAGACATGGGACAATTGGATGGTCCTGGTCATGGTCCTGGTCTTAGTCCCTGACAACCCATGATTTTCGAACCCCCGACTTTTTCTTTGGGGGGGAACCTTCTCTCTTTGGTTTGCGGGACGCTTCCAAAGAGGCAAGAAGGAGATGACAAGCGAGCATGGCGCAAACAATATGCCCCCATGTGCGCTAGCTTTCTCAGGGGAAAGCAACAGCAAGCGACCACTCTTGGCCAACCAGCTTGTTACATGATTCAGTTCGGATTCCACATTTGCTGCAACTCAATTGCTAGCCTGCCTCAGCAGGAGCGGACAGGCTTCGTTTTTGAACCATCAGGTAAACCAAACCGGTGTGCACTTCAGACTTGCGTGCAGGGTTGGTTGTGTGAGGCATACTTTGTTTTGCAAGATATATAGTGTCAAAATATGTCGAACTGCGCAGTTTTCCTTTAGTGTTGTTGGCCAGCTCTGAGCGTCAAGCAGCGAGACGAGCAGGCAGATCTGTCAGCAGCTCCCGCCCCAGAACTCTGGCCAGCAAAACAGCGTGAGGTATGTAGCAGAATGCGCCCGGGTCATGGTAAGCGTTGTCTGAGGGGTGAGAACAGCTCACTTACTGCTCTGGTGGGGTAAATCGGCAAGTCCGACGCAGGTTTTCAGTGGGGCAGTACAACATCTTGGCCGGCTACCTTGGCGTCTTTGCTCAGATTTCAGAGCCAAGGGCTTGCTTAGGCTGCTTAGGGCTGCCGGGGTGAGGAGTGTCAACCTGATTCATGGAGAGGTGGGCTGAACAAATGTTGTCGCATCTTTACGATCACATGCCGGTCCCGCACCTGCGCAAGTTGCATGGCTTGGCCAGAGAGAATTCGAGAGAGCGGGAGCAACGTACCTTTGTGTTGTTTTGGTTTAACCTTGGTTGCACCAACTCTGTGCCACTGCTTGAAAGATGCTGCAGTGTCAATAGGGGTGCCAACATGGCCTCTCCCGCAAAAGAATCAAAAGCATGTCAACATTCTTAGATGCTAAAGATAAAGGCCCTACCTGCTGCCTTCGCCACAATAAGGACTTTTCACGAAACTGCTGGCAGAAGTTTCCAGAAGTCCGTGCATGTGCGAACTGCAAACAGCATGCTGGCGCTTACCAGCCCAGGAAACAACACAGAGCCCTGGTTCCTCCACGGCCTGGACCTGTCGGAGGACCGGCGCGCGCGGATCTTCCGACGCCATGCCAAGAAGAAGCCCAACGGCGCCTACGCCTATAGCGGCTGGCCCAGGTATGCCGAGGGCATCCTCACCCCGGAGGCTTGAAACACAACATGGAGCCTGGCCAATTGGCCACCCAGTCTGAAAAGAGCGGAAGTCAACAAGAACTAAACACATTGCTTGTTTTTTTTCCTCTGGCCAAGCATGTGTCCACGTTTGCCGGTGATGCGACATCTTGAGCTCATTTTCGAGGCAAGCCCGCCTCCTGGCTGTGCGGAAGCACGTCAGTATGTACTATCTCTCACTTGTTTGCAAGTGTTTTTGGTGCTTGATGTCACATTGCCAGGTTTTCGGGTGTGACACTTGAGCGGTAGGTCGTCCTGGTTCAAGGCCCAACTCGGGTTGAGGCCACGCCTCGCAGGAAATCAAGAAGGTGGAGGCCGTGCATAGGACATATTTCGCCTGGCCAAAGCGCAAGGGCCGTCTAGTGGACAAGATTTCTGACATGGATTGCGATATCCTGTCCCTGGTGGAGTGCGACCACTATGAGGCCCGAGTTGACATGACGGGTTGTTCAGGAAGGGGATGACTCTTGTTTTTAGTGACAGGGGTTGCAAACAATTGCTTTACTGCGCACACCAGTTAAGTTCCATCTATTTGTAAACGGGGGCTGCCATTGCTGTAGGGCCCGGCTACCCTGCCACCCAGAAATGCCAGCATGCCAGACAGGAGCTAAGTTTGATTGAAGGTTTGGGGCGACAGGATGGCAACAGGATATTTGGAGGGCTCTTTTCTTTCAGAATTCCAGGAATGCCAAGGTGGACCGATTGCCCCCTTCAAAAAGTGGGGCCACACATGCGCATGCGAGAGGGCTGAGAGCATGACGAGGCTCAGGGAAAAAGTCAACGCATGATCGCGCCTCCTCATGCCAAGGAATCCAGGAGTCCTGAAGCCTCCATAAATGTTGTTCAAACTTGTTTAAGCATGAATGCAAGAGTAGGAGCTGGGGCACCTGCCAATCAGACCTGCACATGGATGTTTCCGCCGAACAGGCTTCAAATTCCTTTGTTTTCTGTGTATCCCCGTTGCAGCCTGGGTTGGGTGGCAACGTGTTTCTATCCGACTCTCCCCCCCTCTTCCCCCCCACCCCACGGACACGGCTGCGTGAGGACCACTTCAGGCCCGCCCTGGCGGAGCTGGGCTACGACTCGCTGTGGCGGAAGCGGCCCCGCGCCAACAGCCACGACGGGTGCTGCATCGCCTGGCGCCGGCCCTTCGAGCTGCTGGCCACGGAGTCCGTGGATTTCTGCAACGGCGTCTGCCCCCTGCAGGCCTTCGGAGAAAAAAAGCTGGGGAGAATTCTTGGGCGGTTTTCCCAGCCGTCCCCATAGGTTTGGGGTGTTTGAGGTTCCCCAAAAAGAAAAACCGGTTCGCTGTAGGTATTTGTTTAGTGGTGCTTTTATTGTTGGTTTAGTGGTTGGGAATGTCCGTATTTAACCCCAAGAAAAAGTTAAACCTTTAGCAGGGGAGCTGAGGACAGCCCCGAATCCCATGGGCGATGTTCGGGCGGAGATCCGTGGGATGGTTTTTGGGGTGGTCCTTTTGCCCAAGTTGCGGCCGTCCTTTTGCCCAAGTTGCGGCCGTCCTTGGCAGGATTGGGTTTGGTATGAGGCGGACCTTGACACGACCTTGTGAGCAAGGGCTTTGGCAAGCTGTTTTAGAGAATCTGAAAGCGAGCGCATGAGAGGATGTTTGTGGCTTTTCACCCACCTTGTTCGGTGAATGTTCGCGGACACCCGGGGCATTAATTGGACACGTGGCCAACATGCCAGCTTGCCCGCCTTGTTTGATTCCTTGTGGTTGCGAGTTGCGAGAGGGTTCTTTCCATCACTAATTAGTTGGTTGAAAGGCCTTGCGATCATGGACCCCAACAGTTTTGAGGCTTCGAGAACTTGCCAAGTTACCCTGCAGAGCATTGGAGCAAGAACGTGAAAGCGCATGGGAGAAGCCAGCCAGAACCAGCTCCCAATGTTTATGTACGCTCTTGCCGGTGATATCTGCAGTACTGGGGTGTTTGATTTGCTCCTGTTATCGGAAGATACTGGTGTGATGTACTTAGATTTGTTGATAGATTCAGCGGCTCAACTTTCCGCCACTAGGTTACTAGTGTGTTCTCCACGAATTGAATTCCTGTTCAGGTTGCTGACTGGCAGGGATCGTATCCCTGGTTTCATGCACTTGCCCTGCCTCAACACCCACATCCAGCAACTTCCCCACCATACGAGGTATGAGGCATCCTTTGTTTCACTCAAAAATGCAAGGCAAGCAACAAACAATTGTGGCTTCCCATCGGTCATCAACTTGCCACATGCGACAAGGAGTATTTTCCCGGGCTCGGGCAGTGCCCCGCCAGGGCAGCATCAAAGACCGTACCGCGGTCATGGCTTTGCTTCAGTCTGAAGGGGAGATGGTTTGCGTGGTCTCCACGCACCTGCACCGAAATCCAGCAGCTTGGTGTTGAGATTCCGAACCAGGCTTCAGCTTGCCCCGTGTTCCGCCCCTCTCAGCTACAGGAAGAACTGCAGGATTCAGATGGAGCCTTGGGGTCGGGTGGCAAGATGTTGCCTTCAACAATCTCAGCAACCTAGGGTGCAATATTCAGCCGTTGGATCTTGAGAGGTTCAGACATTTGGTGTGCCGCAAGTAGGCATTGAGGCTTCCATTGGCAACAGTTGTAGTATCATTTGGCTCGGATCACACTGGACTCCCGAACATGTGCAACGCACAGCAAAGAGGCGCTAGGCAAGTGGGACTAGCCCAAAAAGATGTTGCAAATGTCCACACATGATTTGAAGAGTGTGGAGGATGAAGATACATTTGTCGGATGTGCCTTTGATTGTTGGGAGCCCCTTGTATCATTTTGACACAGCTTAGATGGCCAACTACACAGGGCTGTCAGATGATTGTTGGTCATCCTTTTCGCATGAAATTGAACATGTACACACACACATTGTGACATGTACATCTTTCGGATCTTGCATAGCTTTGTCAGGAGTGCGGGAGTTGCAACATTGAAGATATCCCTTCTCCTTGGAAAGGAACCACGGGGCATACTGTTTGAAGATGCGTTGGCCCAAGGCAAAAAGCCTTGGGCTGTGATTTTCGTTTTCATCTACCGCTTGGCTGATGCTTGGTCCCTTTTCGGGACTTTACGGCTCCAAGGAGGATCCCTCGCAGGACATGCTGCGTGCAAGGCAGGGTATTGCGTTGTTTTGACAGGCGCATGACGTTTGAAGCGGGTTTTGTGTCTGTTTCTGGAGCGTTCCGGGTTCATGCATGGGCTAAAGCTGTTGAAATCAGCGCGTTATGTTTGTTTGTGTGGCAGGGGGAGCCGAGGCACTGGCACGTGTGGAATGGTGTTGTTGCTTGCTGGGATGTGTTCCTTGTGTGCGTTTGTGGTCAGAGTAGTCGGGCAACCCTGGCTTTTGATTCTAGCTGGCACCTTAACACCGGTGGGGATTTGGCGTTGCAGTTTGGTACACATGTCGCTTGGAGCGCATAGACTGAGAAGGGGGGAGGGGGGAGCGCTGCAATTCTCATGTTTGGCTCCCTGTCCCCTGTTGCAGGCGAAAACTTGAGAACCGCATTTGGAGAACCCCTCCCCTCCGCCCCCTTTGTGGGATCCTGAACCTAACCTCCTACCAGTAGGAGGCTTGTGCCTGACATGTGCCAGGCAGGTGGGCCAAATCTTCCGTGCCCTCGTGGACTTCACCAGCCGACATGGCGCTTTGGAGGCGCCTCGTATCCGTCACCGTGTCCGAAGCATGTCAAACATAAGTGTTTCTCATTGCATGGGTACTCCCCCACGGGCTAACAAGCAAACCCACCAGGTTTGGAGGGATTGCCTTGGAGGGGCCCGAGTACTTCTGGGGTCCCCGTGCTCTCAGAAGTCCAGTGGCCAGTGGGCCGGTGGCTGGGGCCAGGCGCCCGTGATCTTGGCTGGGGACTTGAACTGCAGCTCCTTCGGCCGGCTTCGAGGGGTGGCCAACACCCTGGCCTTGCTGAGCCTCGGCTTCAGCGTGCCATGTCCCCCTGGCACAGGTTGAGACCATACCTGGAGTCTCCATGACCCTTGAAAAATGGGGTCGTTGCCCATTTTTAAGGGGTCAGGACCCCTTTTTTTATTGGTCATGAAGACTCTAGGTAGGCTTGAGACTGAGGGAAGAACTTCGACGGGCCCGGGTTGCAGGGCATCTTGTAGGGCCATAAGTGGCGCTGGGTTCACGTCATGCGCTGCTAAGAGCTGCGGGCACGGTTTTTTGCACTGTGAGATTGCCAGAGGGACTCTGGAAGTCCTACACACAACACACATCCTTCCTGCGTCTTGTTGGGGTCTCGAGAGTTGTTTGGAGACCGTTGAAAAAGGAGGCCCACTTGTAGCTTGTCCTTTTTTTCTTGGCAAATCCCCATGGGTCACCTTGGTTACCAGTTAATATGTCATATCCTTGTATCCTTGAGTCCACCTTTCTTGTTTCGTTGGGCATGTGCCAAATCGACAGTCCCGCACTCCAATCGGGCATCAAAGTTTTGTTTGGGCTTGTCGGAGGCCGATCGCGAGGTGTGCTCGACCCACCTGACCATCTACTTTATACTTCTTGGGTTCGGACCATTTTCGTGGTGAATAAGCAGTTTGACTTTTTTAGCCATCCACCCGTGATCGAAGCCGGAAAGTGTGAGAAGTGGGTACGCTTGAAGGTGTTTCTACCTCCATGCGAGCACATGGACTGGATGCCCCAGTAGAAGCTAATGTGCAAGTGGCGCGGTGACTGCGCCTTATTGTTCCCATTAGCTCCTAGACCCTACCTATGCCAGAGTTGTTTTGACTGGTGGTGCCAGACAGATATTCAATGTCACTATGGCAAAGCTACGAGAGTTGAAGCCACATCATGCAAAGATATGAGATTCGTTGCGTGGGTCTCCCTTGTTTCCAGGCGAAGCCAAACCATTTAAAAGAGCCAAGACCATTCTACCCGAGGGCTCCCAACTTTGGGACCTGCGGGACAGCACCAGAGAGAGAGAGAGAGAGATTTCACCCGAGGAACCGGGAGGTGATCTTGCACCCTTTTACTTTTGACACCGCGGATGTGCCCACGGGCAACACCTCGGTCACGGCCTGCCGGAATCTACGCCTGGATGCCATCGTGTACCAAACCCGCAGGCTAGAACTCCTGAAGGCGCGGTGAAAGGGGGGGAAACGAACCAAAACCGTGCAGGTCCTGTCCTTTGCCTATTGGGAAGTGGATTCTTGCTTCAGGTGTTGGAACTGGATTTGGACATGATTGGCTGCGTGGGTTTGCTGAGCAGTGCATTCCCTTTGTGATTGCGTATGCGTTTGGTCGGCGTGGCACGCCCCGGACAACCACGACGGTGAGCCTTGTGAAAGAGACGGGGATGCTGTGAGACGTGTGTTTTACGGTACCTGTCACGTTACGTCAAAGCAACAGCAGTGACAGAGAATTTATGGAGTTTAATGAGGAAAGGTATTAGTTAGCATGTCTATCGAAAGTTAGGATTTAAATAGGAACTTATTTGTAGATTTGAGTTTGTTGTTTACACATATTTCAATAAGGAAATGGTTCAATGAGTGTGGTTTTTAGATCAATAGAACTGACACGCCATGTTTGTCAAGTTGGGGCCAACTGAAAGAAAGAACAATACGTTCTTTCTGTATCAAGTTCCATTCAAAATCGAGTTAAGCTTTAAAGGACATATTTGGAAAGTACATCCTTTTGAATCTTTAGCTTATGATAGAAATTATAATTGATGATTGTCTGATTAAAAGTTATTTGTTTGTCAAGTTGGGGCCAACTGAAAGAAAGAACAATACGTTCTTTCTGTATCAAGTTCCATTCAAAATCGAGTTAAGCTTTAAAGGACATATTTGGAAAGTACATCCTTTTGAATCTTTAGCTTATGATAGAAATTATAATTGATGATTGTCTGATTAAAAGTTATTTGAGTTTATTCGTGGCACACGTCAATGGAAACCGGACAAACAACATCAGGACATCGAACAAAAAGGAAAAGAAACGCAAAAAGTGTGGCAGGGAATGATTGGCATACTCCATCATCTCTAGTAGAAGATGTTGTTGTTTGATTTCTCCATGTTCTAAGCATTTCCCTTGTCATAGTGTTTTGTGTTTGTTGTCCGATTTCTTGATGTGTTGTGTTTCTATTCTTAGTGTCTTTTTTTGGGGGGGAGTTTCACATTTGTAACTAATTCATGTGAGTTCTACTTGAGTGGTTTCCTGATTAAATGTCATTTAGATTCGACACAATTGTTGAAAGAATCTGGCAGGGGAAATTCTTGGCATACGCCGTCAGCTCCGCTAGAAGTTTGTTGCTTGTTGCCCGATTGCTCGATGTGTTTTCTGTTTAGGTCCAAACATGTTGTTTGTCAGATGTTGTTTTGTTTGCATTTCATGTTCTCGATGTGTTTGTTTTGTTTGGTTTCCGACGTGAGTAAGATCCACACACGTCCTTTGTCAGATTGTTCTTTCTTGTTTTTTTGGTTGATGTCCCGATTTTTGTTCTGTGTGAAACAGAAGATCAGAGGCCAACGGTAGTAAGGAGGCAAAAGTGGCGGGCCCCGAAAAAACCCAGTTGTTTTGAATCACTTATACTCTAATTATCCGAATGACATCATATCATATGTTGTTGGTGATTTTCCTATGCTAACTTGGCCTATTCATCTATTTGTCTATTTGCTTGTTCATCTAGCTATCTACCTCTCCATTAATTTGTCTTTCGATGTGTGTGTAACGGACAGGTTGCCTTGCCCGTGCCCGGGACCCGCTTTTCTAGCAATGCCGTCAGGTCGAGGAGTGGAGTAAGTCGTCACCCTGCCGGATGCCAAATCAATCGCAGCCTTCGGACCACTCTCCCATTGTCGCACACTTCCGCTCCAGGCGGGGTGCGAAACGTGGGAAGGGGTCTTTTCCAGATTCAACTAAAGGTGAAGCAGCTGTCCTTGTATGTGGACATTACATGACTATGGAGGTTTTTCAAAGCCACCGTTCCTCAACGACATTGCCCGCAAGTTTGGCACAGCTGAAATCGCAGAGTTCGCAGAAACGCAGTTGGGCCTTGCCCATGTTTCAAGGTCTTGGGAATGAGGCAAAGCTGCTAGGATCGAATGATCGAAGATCGAAGATATCCAAGATCGAAGGGTAAGAGACACACGAGAAGCACGGAACTGTCCCAAGTGCGTGAGGTCGAACTTGCATTGGATGCGGGAGATGGCCAAGGCAGGGGGAGCATGGTATACCGGAACCCAGGCCACATGCCTTGAGGGTGGTGGTTGAAAAACATCCTTTGGGGGAGAGGCACTCGTGTATTTGAACATCATCTCATGGCATGAAGTGCAACCAGTGTCCAGTGTGGTTGCTTTCACCTGCGGATGTTGGGAGGGTTCCGTCCGATGGAAGGAGTGGTTCTCCTGCCTCTCTGGGAAGGAGGTCCAAGTGCCTCTGAGCCAGAAGCAGCTTGAAAGTGCCTTCTGGGTCTTTGCGCCTCGGCACGGCTCAGGGCGGGTAGCATGCAGCATGCGCCGGCTTCGGCACCCCCGCTCATCGGAATTTGGCCCACGAAGGGGCGTTTGAGGATGTTGATCAAGCCGTGTAGCAAAACCCGCGCGCACATCGCTTCGGTCTTTCAGGAGGAAGGGGTAAACGTGGGAAGGCTAGTTTGAAGCTTGTTGCAGGCATGATCTTGTCTCAAAACAAGCTGTCCCTAAAATGGGTAGTTTTCCTTTGGTTGGTGCATACAAAACAAGACACCCCTGCCAGCCCTGACATTTGCGCTTCCGCTCTAACAGAAAGGCTCGGTCCCTGTCTCATTTTCTCATTGCGGCGCGCGCATATGTTCAGCACAGTGTAGAAAGTTCTGAGGGCTTTCTCACTTGCCCTGGAATGTCACCGGGGGAAGTGCCCCAAAATGCCAACCGCAATACCGAGTTTTATGTTGACAGAATTACCCCACTCATTACCGCCAGACGGCGCTTTGGCTTTTCAAGGGGTGCAGCATGTGGATTCTTCGTGGCTTGAACTCACAGAGGTGGGGCAGGAGGCCCATGCATATGTGTGTGTGTGTGGCTTGCCGTTCTTGTGTTGGATCATTGTTCCACATTTTTGCGAGCTGAGCGTCATGTCTGAAATGGATTTACGAGTGTTTTGCGCCTGCCACGAAATCTCTACAATCATGCCACGAAATCTGCATGCTAGTCCGTGCATTGCATCTTGCACTGGGTCGCAACATGACGAGATAGAGAGTAATTTTAGTGCAGGCCAGCGGCCCGGCGGGTTGTTGTGCTGGCATCGCGCGGCGGCTGGCGCATTCAAGGCAATTCTCGGCCACGCTTGGGGTGAGCGGCGTGGCCTTGTTTTGCTTCCATCGCGGAGCCCGCGTTGTTCGGCACCTACCCGTGCTTTGCCGCTTCGATGAGCCCGCGTTGCCTGCCACGCGGAGCATGGATGCCTTGACCGACTTCACTCTACTTGGCCGGCTCGATTGCAGGCGACAACCCGGCGAATATGTCCCGTCAGGTTTGGCCCTACATATGCTTTGCTTGCGTATGAACCACGTACTAAGTGGGGTGGTCGTTCAAGCCCGGAGCGGGTTAAGGGGCTTTGTTCGCGGTTGTTTTGTGTTTGGACACCCAAGAAAATGCACCACTCAGAACAAGACCCTGGCACCTATCATCATCTGCCCCAGAAAAAGCGTATGCACGCGTTTTGGATTTCGGTCCCTAGCGCGCGCCTGAGACTCGCGCGAAGGCCGTTGCAAGCGAAAGGCGTTCCAGCGCCATCCGCGCAACCAGGGCTCCCGTGCACAGAATTGGCGAACATGTCTCCCAGAGGCACCTTGGCGGGAGGCGCTTGCGGTTCTTGAGTTTCCCTTTGCCTGGCTGGCTTGTCCCAGGTGTACACTGAGTAAAGCATTGGTGGATCTACTCGCAAGCAAGGCCCCTGCGTCGCCAAAGGGCTGAATGGGTAACGACCCCAAACTTGGTTGCTAAAAAGGGCACCCCGCGGCCTGTTCGCGACTCCTACACAGGATCCTGATGGCACCGGCAGCATCTCTGGGTGCAGCGCCTCGTCTTGAGCGCAGGCCGCCCATTGGAGGAGGCGTTTGATGAGTTTCTGCAAGCTGTTTATGTTACAAAGGTGTTCCAACGGATGAGCTGTGTTCGTGGCTTTGTGTATTGCCTGCGCTTCCTCAGCATGCCTTGTGACTTGACTATTGGAACATGCCATTCTCAGGAGTGTCACAATTTGCTGGCTGGCCGTGTCGAAGCCAGCAGTGTGAACCAATTGAGTCCACTTTCATCAAACAGCAAGGACGTCATTTCCGGCGAAGAAGGCTTTTTACACAGATCGGGGACACAGGATGTACGTTCATTTGTTCCAAAAGCAACAAGTTTGCAGGATAATCTTCAAGTTGGGACCGGGAGAAACCTGACCTTCCAGGGCGGTTCTTCAGAGGCAGAAACTCCAAAAAAAGTCCACGTGCGCATTTCTCGAGGGAAAACCACTGTAAAAGCTGAAGCAAACCAAGCCCTCGAATTGTCCACATCCGAGGCCTGCGGAAGACCTTGGCCTCCCTGGACCTCGCGGTGCCTGAGGAGCTGCCGCCAGTGCTGAGCCGCGACTCCTTCGTGGCCATGTACCTGGAGGCCCTCCGGGTTTTTGTTGGGTTGGCTGCTTCTTACCTCCTTATGGTGTTTTACTTGCTGCGCCCGTTGGAGCGCTATTGCGTGCCTCAGTGGGGTGAAGTCCCTGTTTTGTCGACGCATGGCGGCTTTAGAGTCGTGCATCGAGCGTCTAGTGGCCCCCCTTGGGTTGAGAGGAAAGCTTTAATCTCCCTCACTGCCCCCAAAGACCAAACAGCACAGAGAAGATGGGTTGCGTTTCGCCGGCTGTCTCAAAGTTACAACAACCCTGCTATGATATGGATCAAGGCTGCGTGAATCCCGGGCCACGAAATGGTCGAGAGTTCAAAGCAAGATTGGCCGTAATTGCTGTAAGCTGTAAGCTGCTCAAAGGCGTGCTTTGTGTTTCAGTTGGCTGTAGGGAAATTCTGGAGTCTTGCCTGCAAACGGCCTACACAACTGTACTGTGACCTTATGAACGCCACGCAATGCAGAAACTTGGCATAGTCCTACCATGGCGGTCTCAAACAAAAGGATGGCATGTTCGGCTGTTTCACTTTGCCATTGGATGTTGTGAATTCGTTGCAGGTATTTGCAGGTCAGAAGGGCGTGCCAGTGAATCGCACATTCCCTCGTTCTTCATTCATGCTTCGCTGAGGGCAGTGTCCACTCCCAATCCTTTGGGCGGAGATGTTTGAAAGTGCTCACTGCCATCATTTCAAATGGAACCAGCGGCGCCACTACAGTAGACTCCGAGCACCCTGAATTGGGGCACCTACAAGCGAAAGCCATCAAACCGTAAAGTCGAACATCAGCACGCACCGGTCACATGTGACACGCTTCGATCTGGATGTGACCTTTTTCCGATTCCTCGGCTCCTGCACGTGTCCGCTCTCTTTTGGGTTGTCAGAGCCAAGTACGCCGCTACCCTGATTTGTTTTGGCTTTCGCGGCTACCATGTCGCTTTACCCTGTTGAATAACTACTGGATCCGAGATATTTAGAACGGGGACGACAGCACTTAGCCTTGCCCAGCCGCAGGCAGTGAAGGTAGCTGGGCTGCCAGGCCTGAGGGAGGGCAGACTTGTGCCCTGATCAAGCTTGCCAGCTGCTTGCGCAGTGAACGGACCGAGGATATGAAAGTTGCTTTCTTCGAAGTGGTTAGAGCCGGGCAAGTACAACGACTAGCTCAGAATCATTGGAGGTTCCTGTCCAATGGGTCAACAACCCTGTTTCCAGTCACAACATATGCTGGCACTATTTTGAATGCAATCCATGTCGCAAACTGGCCTGCAGAAGTTTGTGTTTTATGTCGTGTCTTGACATGGCCCTTACCTGGGTGGCAAATGTGGCAAGAAGCTATTTGCTTGGAACCAGTTTCTAGAATCCGTCCCTGGAACCCATCCAGCGGCCCGAAGCCAACAAGGGAGCAATTCACTGTTAGCATGTCAATGTGTTATTGGGCGTGCGTGCTGTGCCAAGTCAATCCTTACTCTTCTGGGTCCTTGCGTGAACAAAGGGTGTTCCTTGGAGATGATCGGAATCTTGAATCTGAAAGACAGAGACATTCCGCGAAATCACAAGGGGGTCTAGTCCTTGAGTAGGACAACCTTCGACTGTTGCAATGCCAAGCCGCAAATGGACGATGCCACAGGCCTGGAGGACCTGCAGGAGGCCTTTCACTTGTTGGACCGCGACCGGGATGGGCACATGGACCTCACGGAGCTGCTGCAGGCCTTCGAGCTCTGTGCCCCCACGGAGGTGCCCCAACATGACGTCCAGGCGCGGACGGGACACGTCTGGAGAGGGGCGGGCATGAGCTGCGCAGGGCATGGACGCCACTTTTGCAACGGGGGAGGAAGGAAGGAAGGAAGGAGGGACCTGGCCTTGAAAGGAGCTGTTTCATGCCATTGACCAGAATCGCGATGGCTTGATTGACCTGGAGGACCGAACGTGCAAAAAAACACGCGTAAATGGTCTGTCTCGTTTTGTGGGTACATTTGTTTTTTGTTGGTTTTGAAGCGGGAAGCAAAAGGAAACCACCAAAAAAAAGGCTGTGTGTCCCCTGAAAACGCCAATTCTTGCAGCTGTCATGCACCAAGAGAATCAGTGCTGGTCCTAAGCGGCTCACCAGCTCGCCTTTTGTCAGCAGGAAATGCTCCAGTTCCTCGCTACGACTTGGAGGGACAGCCCCCGCTGGCAACCGCGCCACTCTTTGCCGTTGGAAGTCTGTACAGAGCCAAAAGAAGATTGGAAATTGTTGAAAAAAAAAAATGAAATACTGGGAAATAAGAATGCTATACGGCATTGATTAAGATTATATAATTATTATATATTTGGTTTGTTTTATATATGAATTGTTGTAATGGTATTCTGGCCGAATTGTTATATTTGGGGTGAGTGATTATTTTTATGTTGTTTGGATTTTTGTGGTGCGAGGTGTTTTTTTTTATGATTGGGAGTTGTTTAGATTTATATCGAAATTTCGAGGGATATGTTTTAGATTATTGATTGGAATTCTCGTGATGTAGTTTAGTTTAGTTGAATTTTAGATGTATTTTTTTTTTTGAGTTTAATGTTTTGAACAATATATAGTATTTTTTTTGTCTTTTTGATGTATTTATGTGTTTATATTTATATATCTCATTATTTTGTATTTTTTATTTGTTTATTTTATAAATAAAAAAATAAAAAATGAAGTTTATTTATATTAATTTATATGTTTTTAAATACCATTTGTTTATTTGTTGTTTTATTGTTATTTTATATGTTTTGTTTAAAAAAATCGAGATAGATAATTAATAATTGATTTATAATGATTTGAAACATATTTATAGAGAATTTTTGTGAAATTTATAAGTATATTTAAATTTATATAAATATAATATTAATATTAATAGATAATCCGATTTGTATTATTGAAAAATTATCTCTAATTAATTCGTTTATTTAAATATATAAGCATTACAAAAATGTAAAAAATCTAAATTTATTTGTTTTTTTGTTATTGATTATTTGATTTTGGTTTTATTAATGTTTTTGTATTATATAATATAATTTATTATTATTGATTGTTGTTTTTTTCGATTAATAATATATTAAAATACATATATAAATATATATTATATTTTTATGATATTTGATTTTGATTGATTATTGTGTTGGTCCGGCTTTAATTTTAATTATTTGAAATTATTTTGTTGGATAGAAATTTTCTGAGATATAATGATTTTTTGGGCTCTTTCTGATAAAAAGAATGGAAGATGTGTTTATTAATATTTGTTGTTTTTATTATTATCGAGGTGCTTTTAAATATTTTAGGATTTATATTTTTTATTCATATTTTTTTTTTTTTTTTTTTTCTATATTGTAAATCAAAATATACCATATAAAATCAATAATAATATATTCGAAATTATTTGTTTTGTTTACAATTCGATACTCATAATCTACTAATTACTATTTACAACGGGGAGATGCCATAGCAAAATTAATAATAATCAAGGGATAACAACAAATGCAATAAATACCTCATAACGTTTTATCGTATCACCTATACTGTATCTTCCCCATGTATCGATTCCGTGTCGTCCCCGTGTCGCTCCCGTGCCGCCCCGTATCGCCCCCGTATGCCCCCCCCCAGAACGACAATAGATCGCTGCGAATTATTGTCGGACCCATATCGCCCCCGTATCGCTCCGTGTCGCTCCCCCGTGTCGCTCCGTATCGCCCCCGTATTATCCCGTGTCGCCTGCGCCGAATCGCCTGCGTATCGCCCCGTGTCATTGTGTTACCCCGTGGTCTTATATTTCATTTCTTGGGGCAATATGACGAAACGACCATAGATTAAGGATCTGCTGTCATTAATTTTCCTTTCGGAATTATTGTTGTTTATTGCCGTTTGGGCAGCAGTCGGAGGGCATGGCAATATAATATTAATAAACTAATAATATATTTAGTAAATATATTAAATTATTATTAAATATATTATTGGTTTTATATTCAAAATTAAATAAATATAAATTAGTATTATTAATATTTATTAAATATCATATTACTCATTAAATTATTTAATTATATTTTTTTTATAGTAAAACTGAATATATATAATTATCTTAATAATATATAATTAAATATATATATATATATATATTTGTGTTAATTAAAAGAAATAAATTCAGGTGATATTCCCAATAATATCCGGTATCTTTTTTAATGTTCTCACCACCCCGTAGCCTTCGTAGAACCTTGTGGAACCCTCACGGAACCTGGTGGAACCCTGGTGGAACCCTCGTGGAACCTTGCTTCAGGGCCGCCCCGCACCACCCCGTACCCTATCTGGGCTGAGACCCCAAAGCTTTCAACTGTTGGAGAATAATGATATATTAAATTATATTAACATATATTTAATATTTAATATTTTATAAATCAATAATTATTAATTCGTTATTAATCAACAATACAAAATATAAAAATATAATTTATGCTATATAAAAAAAGAATATATATATATCTATATATTTCTTGTGTTTAATATTATATTCCATGTTCGATCCAAGATATATGGATGAATGGAAATTAACGAAAATAAATAAAAGGACGGAACAAAAAGTAATAATAATGAAAATATAATTGATTGAAAAAAAAAAATAAAAAAAAAATAAGTTCAGGTAATATCCCCAACAGCATGCGGTGCTGTTTTCACTGCTCACACCACCCCTTAGCCCTCGCAGAACCTCATGGAACCCTGGTGGAACCCTGGTGGAACCTTGGTGGAATCCTGGTGGAACCCCTGGTGGAACCCCCTGGTGGAACCCTGGTGGAACCCCTGGTGGAACCCCTGGTGGAACCCTGGTGGAACCCTGGTGGAACCCTGGTGGAACCATGGTGGAACCCTGGTGGAACCCTAGTGGAACCCTGGTGGAACCCTGGTGGAATCCTCATGGAACCCTGGTGGAACCCTCGTGGAACCTTACCTCAGGGCCGCCCCGGACCAGAGCCTATCTGGGCTGAGACCCCCAAAGCTTTCAGCTGTTGGGAAAAAAAACAATATATATATATATATTAGCCATTTTATTTATTATTAATTATGTCTATTCCGGTTTTGCTCTTCTAGTAGCTTCCTGGCGGGTAAGACATTTCTATTTCTCCTAATATAATATTAATTTTCATTATGGAATAGTGGTTGGAAGAAAGAAATAATATCATATTGTTTTCTGTTCATTCAAAATATATTTTTACTTTTTACAAATACTCAATACATAATTATTAATATCAAATTAATAATTATATTTGATTATATATATTTGATAATTATTTTTCCATATTTGATATTCCAATTGGAAATATCATATAGTTAATATATGTACCTGAAAAAAACTAAAAATAAAAATAAATAATAATATAAAAATAATATATATATATATATTAAATTAGAAACATATTATAAATATATATATATATACATACACAAATATATATATTTTAAACATATATAATATAATTATATATTTAAATAATTCTGTTCCCCTCCCTTGTTTTTTTCTTTATAAATTATAATATATATATATATATATTAAATCTATAAAATATCGCCAAAAGCCTAATAAACAACATTTAAATATCTCTCAAATCTTCATTTAAACGGTTCATTTTCATTTTTGAGAACATAATATATAACAATTCCATAGAGAGAATATAATATATTTTCTCAAATAAATGAAACATGTATCTTTAAAAGGCGGATATATCATTCGGAAAAAAACACTTCCTATAGTTTCTCCAAAATCGGCCATGCTATTGGGAAAGGTCCTATATTCTCGCTATATACGACAAATTTGATTCAATTATCGTCTATGCCATCGCAAAAGGCACTTAAAAATCTTCTCCTCGTTATAATAAAACCAATATGTCTCTAAAATCGATCGCGCCATTGGGAAAGATACCCTACATTCGACAATTTTATCTCCAGAACTCGGCATACCATTAAGACAAGCACCCTAAATTTATCTTATTTCCAAATATGGGTATATTAAAACACATATCCTAAATATATTTCCAAAATTTTTCGTGTCGATCCGGTTTCGAACAAATATATACATATATATATATAACTTAATTTCAAGATCATATATACCATTTACAGAAACGATATTAACAATTATGTTTAAACAGATTTTGTTTAAAAGGCAAATTTAATATTCTATTTATTTTAGAATTTAAATTAATATTAACTAGAATAAATATGTTATTTATATGTTTTTTGTAAAATTATTATAAAATATAAGTATATAAACAATTCTCACTTAAACCAACATTCACAAAATAAATCTTTCTAAAATAAATCTTACTATTTTTTTATTTAACATATTTTTAATAACAATTTGTGCCAAATATTCTTCCAAAATTTTTCTATCTAATACATAAATTTTAAATATACCAATTTATAATACTATATCCAAATTAAGATGCACTAACAATAAAATTATATATGTATACTAAAAAGAACCCATTAATTCCATCAACGACAATATCAACAAAAAATCAAAAAAAGAAAAGAAGAAAACAAAAGAAATAAAAAACAATAAAAAAGAAACAAAAAGAAACAGATTCTTTTTTAAAGAAAAAAAAAGAAAGAACAAGATACCATAAGAAACGTAAAGAGAAATAACGAAAACCAAAATAGAAGAATAAAAGAGAAAAATAAAAAAAGAAGAAGAAGACAAATACAAAGAGAACAAAAGAGAGAAAAAAAGAGAGAATAAAAAAAGAGAGAGAGAGAGAAAAAAAAAAGAGAAATATAGAGAGAAAGAGAAAGAAAAAGAAAGAGAGAAATAAAGAAAGAAAGAGAGAGAAAGAGAGAGAAAGAAAGAGAAAGAGAAAGAAAGAAAA